CCTTCTTTCCACACAAAGAAACTTCTGTTCCATCTGGCTTTTCTCGCATGCCCAGAGACACTTGTGTCTCAAACATAAGAGAAAGTACCACTGCCAGGAATGCACACAGGAAAGAAAACACATAATTCAGTATGCAAAGATAGAACCTGCAGTTGTCTTTTCTCCACACCACCAGACTTCTTTCCAGGCTAATTTTCAAACTTCCGAAGCCAGCAAAAAGTCTTTACATAAAGACTATTTGTACACTATTTTCTCTTTCTTGATCCATTTAATTGAACAGATTAAGATTAGAACTTTTAAGCCAGAATATAGTGGTTTTCCAAAAAAGCTCCTGATTGCCTGATACTAAACTATGCAGCACTTCTTCTCCATAGAGATTAAGCGTTGACCATATTTTATATGATCAAAGGGGAGGAAATGGCATTAAAAAGACAGGGTCTTAGAAACTCAAGTTTTTTAAGCCACCTGGAGGTCAGGTAATCCAACAACATGCACATTTTATTTAACGTTGAGTGGCCTTTCTGAATGAAGTATAACCTATTTGGCACATAGCAGGCACATGTAATTACACTCAACCATTCGTAGATGCTGGCTTCCATTAAAACATTCTTGAAGTGTATGTCTATTTTCCTTCTCAGGATCTAGTCCTAGAGCTGATTACCTAACCTTTCTGCAGCAGAGATCTCTTTGGAAAGGGGTTCTACCCTAAGAAGGTTTGTAAGCACAGGGGCCCCCTGTTCAGTGGAAACTGGAGTTGCTGCTTCCCACGTGCTGCACCAAGCAGTTTCAGTATTTTGTCTCAGCTCACTTTGGACTTGGAAAACTTTGGTGACCTTAGAACAACAGAATGCTGCTGTTAGAATCCTAGCTTGCGGCCGGCTCTCTGGCCTAGTGTTAAGTTCAGCATGCTCCACTTTTGTGGCCCAGGTTCGGTTCCCAAGCACAGACCTACACCACTCATTGGCGGCCATGCCGTGGCAGCGACTCACATACAAAATTGAGGAAGATTGGCAACAGATGTTAGCTCAGGGAAAATCTTCCTCAGTAAAAAATAAGTTAGAGGCCAAGAGATCAGACCTATCCAGTCACATACTCATTCTATATTGAAACCCAGTTTGAAACACACCACTTAGGTTTTGTGAGTATAATTTAATGTAGTTTCTTTTAAAGAGAATTAGAATGAAGAACCTAACTATGTTGGTGATACTGTGCTGTAAGCAGCATGTTGAGTGAGAACAGTTCAGATACCATTACAGAAATGAACAGTCACATATTCTTAAGACTCAAGTACTTTTGACATTTATATTTTCACAGTAACCATTTTTGATAACTCATCCTCTTTATCTGATGACCTCTTTTATGGCAACAATTTAGATGATGATTTCCAATTTCAGTGATCTGGTAACATTTAAATTCAAAGGTACGTATACTCATTTCAGTATACACAATGAGCAATGTACTGATTTTTTACTGCCGCCATAACAAATTACCACAAACTTAGTGGCTTTAACACAACACAACTTTATTATCTTACAGTTTTATGTTAGAAGTCCCACAGGAGTCTCACCAGACTACAATCAGAGCGTCAGTAGGGCTGCATCCCTTTCTGGGAACTCTGTAGGAGAAAGTTTCCTTGCTTTTTCCATTTTAGAGGCTGCCCTTACTACATCCATCTTCAAAGCCAGCAATGTCGAATCTCTCTGATCTTCTTCCATTGTCATGTGTCTCTCCGAAAGCCTCTCCACTTTTAAGGACTCTTAAAACTGGGTTCAGGGCCTGGCCCCGTGGCTCAGGGGTTAAATGAGTGCCCCACTACTGGCGGCCCGGGGTTTGGATCCCAGGCGTGCACCGACGCACCACTTGTCTGGCCATGCTGAGGCGGCGTCCCACACCCAGCAACTAGAAGGATGTGCAACTATGACATACAACTATGTACTGGGACTTTGGGGAGAAAAAGGGGAAAAAAAGGAGGATTGGCAATAGATGTTAGCTCAGGGCCGGTCTTCCTCAGCAAAAAGAAGAGGATTAGCATGGATGTTAGCTCAGGGCTGATCTTCCCCACAAAAAAACAAAACAAAACAAAACCTTCTTCTCCTGCCAAAAAAAAACAAAAAAAACTGGGTCCACCTAGATAATCCACGATAATCTCCCCCCTCAAGGTCCATACCCTACTGCGTAGTCCCTTCTGCCATGTATTCACCAATTCCAGGGATTAGGGCATGGACACCTCTGGGAGCCATTCTTCTGCCTACCACAAGCAGAAACAGCAAGATAAGTACTTTTTTCATCGCCCATCTTCTCTCCAGAAAAATTAACATAATGTAAATGTTTTTATAATAGGTATTACATATGAGGAAAGTATACAGTGAAGCATGAAGCCCAAAGGAACTTTTGTACCGATTCAAACACAGGAGAGATCATGACTCAAATTATCTCAACAGTCTAGTAATATAACGTGGAACTCAACTCCTTTTCAATGGATACTCCAGTTTTAATTATCCCTCTCCTGGTATCATTTCCCTTCACTAAAACAAATAGGTATTTCCAATTTTAAATTCAAAATATAAGAAAATATTTCAAATATTTCATAACAGCTGCTTGTTAAAGAGATATTATTCTTAAATTTCTTCAAAACATTTTGAGGTCTAAAGATAATTTAGCATTTATAAAAAAAGTTATAGTTGTGTACGGTATTTGTTTAGGTAATCAAAATTTAAAATACCGCTATTCAAAAAGTTCCTATTCTAATCAGCCAAAGAAAGGAAAAACATACTGTTACATGGCACAGGGAGAGAAGACAACGTGAGCGGTCTTTGGGTGCAATAGACCTTAAGTGACTATATTTTCTAAACCAAAAATGAGGCATATATCTAATTAAGGGAATTTTCTGACTTTTTACTTTACCTGTACAAAGAGTCTTAAAATATATACATATGTGGAAAGATTATTGTCTTGTAACTGATCCACAAAAGTATCATTCTGAAGTAAAAAAGGCAAAAGCAAAACAAAAAGACCTCTCCTGCAAATTGAAGGTCAGTTTATAACCAGCAGCAAGGGAGCCTGAGGAGTTTTCTATCTGTTAGCAACTGGAGCAGAAGAAAGGAAGACCAGTAGAGAAACAAGGGTCAACTTGGCCAAAACAAAGTTTCCACACTTTTTAATGCACAAAAATTGAAAGCGATCAGCAAGCCACACTGACTTACATATATAAGATATGATCCATTTTTGTATTCCTATAAAATTTCCCCAAAGCCGGTATCAAATTTTCCATGGGGCAACCAAATATGTCTCTTTTCATATTCATATATCAGTAAACATGTACCTAATGTTTCATACTGTTTTAAATAACCACATCCTTTAATTCCTTTAATGTACAACCTGAGTATTTCTGTCCAATCCTGTTCCATGTAGATTCCCAAATTGAAGGAAGTTTGTCAACTCATTTTGTAAAGTGAAAAAAGAGCACAGTATTTTAAACTAAGGTTGTTTTTCTATCCTGACCAGAAATTAATGAGACACTTTAAGAAATATGACAGGTGATCCCAAACAAATACATTGTGTTCCAAAAGCTTACTCATAAGCTGTATTTCTCCCACAGCAAATGATTATCAGATGCCAAGCTAGCCTAGAAACACCTAATTAATTAATAATACCTAGTGGTGGATAAAAACTAGCAGAAAATGCACTATAATTCTCAAAAAAAATAACAAAAATAATGAAATAATATGAATGCAAAATATTGGTACTCCAGGAAATAACTTTTAATGTAATTTCTCTAATTAAATTTATGCATAAACTCTGAAGGGAAATTTCAGCCACTTCTAAAGTTCCTAGAACCTGATAACACTGATTCACTTCAAATTTTCTTTGCTTTAAGCACACTGTGGAGCACCACTCTCCTTTACTAACTGGGATTAAAAGACAACGTGTAACACACAACATAGGTGTGGCACGAAGCAAGCTCTATAAAAATTATATGGTTAGGAACGATTTGAGGTTCACATAACTGGGCAGCAATTTGAAGAGGAGCCAACAAACAAAAGAGGACGTGTGTACATCCACGAAAAAAAAAAATTACCTGAGATAGTACTGTATTAACTAAGGTGCTTTCCAATCTTCCTTTCTAGAAAACCTGGGTCTGAGGTCCCTGGAAGCCAGAACTAGGCAATGGAGTCAAAAGGTTACTCGTTGACTACAGGCCTGGAGCAAAGGCTAACCAAGACCACACTGTAGGTAAAGTAACCTTGTGAAGCAAGTGACACCCCAGACAGCAGATGGAGAACAAGTGCTGACTCCCAAGCATTCAAGCAGACGGAGCCAGCCCATTCTGGAGGTAAAGGCTGAGGTGCTTTCCTGAGAAAGCAGGAGGGCATGGGCACTAGGGTTGCACAGGCAGCCTTTCGCAGCACATCTCTGCCTAAGTCTGTGGGCCAGGCTGCTAAAAGCAATGAATCAGTCTGACAGCTGTGAGGATAGGAAGAAATGGGCAGAGAACGGCAAGTGCTTGATCGTGTTAAAGAGAGAAGTCAAGGAAAGAATCATCATTGCATTAATCCAGCAGTTCACGAACCTGAATGAACATTAGAATCTCTCAGGCATGCCCTTAAAATGCAGAGTCCTAGGCCCCTATCCTTAAAGATTCTTATCGTATATATCTGAATTATGATAATATTCAGCCAAATTTGGGAATTCATCAATAGTTCAATAGATTCTGGAGTAAAATTTAATTACAGAATATTATCAATTTATATCCTCTCACAAAGCAACATTGTGATGCTGCTGGTTTAGAAAAACTATGTACATAAATTATACAACCACACATTTTTGTACAATAAATAATATATGTAAATGTCTGAAAACGTTTAAAACCACAAATCCAAAGCAAGCAAGTTTCTTCAAACATATAAAGAGATGTGAAAAAAAAAATAAAATAGGTAAATATGCTCTCAAGTTTTAAAATTTGAAATGTAAAAATTATATCTGATATTGATACTATAAAGAAAACAGGACACTTTTTATTTCAGAAAGTTCAAGTCTTTCTATCATAATTGAAGGAACCGCATGATTGATTAAATATTATTAGCATTATTTTCCATTAATCTTTTAAATGCAGCCATACACCTGAGTGTTTTGAATTATATAAACACATCCATTAGCAGTCTAAGACTCACCAACATTTATATTATGTGTCTACAGCAGAATCTGAGACGAACCACTACTAAAATAGGTTATAACGTCATTTGGATTTTATGATAAGTTGGTCTGCTGAACTCTAAAATTCATGGAAGGAATTAAATCTTTGAATTTATTTTTTAACAAGTGAAATTCTGCATTGTGCTACTCTGCTTCTGCATATTATTTAGAAAATGGCTATTAAGGCTTTATTGTAAGGGATTGAAAAAAAATCCTATCGTGCACCATGCAAGATGAAGAAAATAATGGTTTACAAATAACTCTTGAATATAAAGGAATCATGGTTTTTCTTCTCAAAATCAAAGATGTTTTTCAGATTAAAGTTACATTAAGAGTTTATGGAAAATTACATCCCTAGCTTAAGAACTTAAACATCTTTAGATTTAGAAAAAGAATGGATGATTATAACTTATAGTGTTTTTAAATGATGCTTTGGGGAAAAGTCTTAATTTATTGTTTCATTCTTTCTAACAGCTTTTTCTTCGGTCGTTACTATAAAATAATGCATTGTCATTCTGAGGACAATTTCTGATTCAGTTCCAATGCTCTTGTGTCTCCATGAGTTTTGGCATTGTTTACCAGCACCTGTGGGAAATCACATACAAGAACGTTAGTATTTTATTTATTAACAATATCTATATTTAGATTCATAGAAGGCAAGTATGCCAAAGGGCAGCAGGCAATATCAAACTACATAAGAAAAAGTGACTATGTGCAATTTTCCAGTCATTTTTGCTGAAATAAATTGTTCAACCAAAGCTAACATCAGAGATAAGCACAATTTATTCAAATGCTCAATTAGTATAGACGCCAACATTTTGATTGTTACCGCTGTCAGCACTATACAAAATTAAAGGTTTTGTTTGGTGGCTTTGTTTACAGTACTGTCACCTCTAAGCCCTTACCCAAAAAGACCATTTTATGCATAGAATTGTCCAAATGACATTGTTTTCCTTTAAAACCACAGCTTAGGATCAAGGTTCTAGGTTCTAAGCTCTATCAAGAAACTTCCCATGATTTTCACCAATTCCACAAACTAGAAGATTTAATTCCAGTAGATCAATCCATTACTAAGACATTTTTTGGTAGTTCATTTTCAAACACTGTGAAGGGTCTGAGATTTTGCTCTACTTGCAAGCTAACAAGTTAGCCTGCCAAAGTTCCATGGATACTGCCAAAAGACACGGGACTCCTGGGTCAAAGACAAACGTCTTTCTTATTCATGGTACAGCAAACAGCATGAGCATCAGCAAACTTGCATCCATTCCCCTTGCCCTCTAAGTCTCACAAGGCAAGCAACATGGATGCACACATCTAGTTTCCGACATGCACAGTGAGTTGCATGACAAGAGGGGAACCTGAGCCTAGGAGACTTAAATCTTTTACAATTGGCAGGACTCATGCCTACCCTTTGCTCTGGAGGGAGACACTTACCTCTGTATCTCAAGGCTGTCACTATACAAACATCCTTGAAACGACAGTCTGGAACAAAGGGCAGTCAGGCCTTCTACTCACAGGATGTTTAGAAATGCAAGAGACCCATGGTGAAGTGTCTCCCAACACTCATACAAGTTCTAAATTTTGGATTTGCAATATGTTGATTATAATGCCTTTCTCCAAGCATTTTGTTAATATTTCTTTAATATTGTATTTTTCACTGAAAGGCAAATAGTATGTCAAATGCTGTCTTCTCATTAATTTTCATCATGCGTTTAAAATTGTTGGCTGGAGTTACGAGAATCTTAACCCAATACATGTTTTATATACTCTACCATTTAAAAATAATTTTATATATATATAGGTTTATATATTTAGATAGCAAAGCCATCCCATGAGAAGTAGAGTAGAAATTGTCACATGCCTATATTTTAGAAAAGACAAGAAGAAGAAAAACAATTTTTCTAAAGATAATATGAACATCCCATTCAAGTCTGCTACTTCTAAACCTATTCTAGCTACCTATTTGCCTCCACTGCAGTGGTCATAAGAAATACCACAACCAGCACCTAGCACCTTTGATCTTTTCTTATTCTACATAGCACATTCAGTGAATCTATTTCCTACAGGTTAAATCAGTGGTTCTCAACCAGGGGTGATTACACCTCAGATACTGTTTGGTAATGTCTAGAAGACACTTTTCGTTGTTACATGTGGGGTGGAGGGAGGAGGACAGTGCTACTGGCATCTAGCGGTCAGAATGGTTGGGGATGCTGCTAAACATCCTACAATACACAAGACAGCAACCCTCACCCCTCCTCCAACAAAGAGCCAAGATGAAATATTTTCAATAAAATCAGTGCCTTACATCAATGAGCTCGTAGTCATTTTTGGCATGTAAGTGTCTCAGTAGGTACCAACGTGCAGTTGATACAATAGATTTGGGATACCCAGGCTGATACACCACTCTCTCCAAAAGTCGCCGTGTCTCTCTGGGAAAAAGATATTTACATTTAGTTCAAAGCATATAAATTAATATAAGATATTTCATATACTTTCATACACAAACATTTCATACACATACATATACATTATATAAATTAATATATTTCATATACTTTTATACACATATATCATCTTTCTCATTCTTTTGCAGATGTGGTGCTGATTACTTCATGAATTTTTTATTCATATAACAATAAAGGTAATAATCATGGTTAACATTTATTAAATGTTTATTCTGTGCTAGGCACTATGCTAAGTGTTTTACACATATGGTCACATTTAATAATCACAACCATGTAAGGTAGGTTGCTGTTATTATTTTGCAGATAAGTAAATTAAAGCTCATCCAAATAGAATGGGGAAAAGGCCCCTATTTTATGAGCACTTCTAAGGGCTCTACCCCTAATCTTTTTTGAAAATAGGCAAAAAAGTAAGTAAATCAATAAACAATACAAAGATAATATAAAGTGGAACAAGAAGAAATATTTAACATCTACCCTAGAGGCTGAGTGTATAATATCAGGCTTTTAGCATATGTATGTTTTCAAAGACAGGTACAGTATGTGAACCCAAGTAATAACAGGTTGATTTACAGTTGTGTTCTAATTTTTTCTTCCCTAATTTACTAACATCTATGACTCCAAAGACTTCTGTACTGATAGAAACAACATAAACAGTGGTAACTCAGAACTGCTGAATAGGAGGATCTTATAAGCAGCAATTGGCTTGAAACAGGAGCTAAAGAACTTGTCTCAAAGATGCTTTTACGCTGGAATCACATAGTAAGCACGTGTTTTTTCTTAGACTGCATGTTTATTTGGACTGATTTTTGGTGGTGATACAAACTATGGGAGGTGCTAACAGAGACTACGAAGGAAGAGGGTTAAGGCCCTATAAGACACCCACACCGAGCATCAACAGAAAGAGTCCATTAGGAAGCTTAAATTATAGCCTGAAATATTTCTTGATGAAATCAGTCATAAAAAAATGTCCAAAATTAAATATTAATAAATGGTGCTGAAACTGCTGATTAGCCATAGGTCTTAATTGTTCCTTCAGTCCTATTTTGTGATGTTGACGTGACCTCTGCCACATATTTATATGTATTAAGCTCTATGGCTACAATACCTACTCTGTTTCAATAATGTATGCTCCAAAACCACTGTTTTACTTATAGTTGCTTTGTGTTATGTGTGATATCCATTAGAGCAGATATTATTCTCAGAATTTTTAAATATTCTTGCCTGTTTTATCATCCATATAACCTTTAAGTAATTTTCTTCAAATTTATTTCTGACCCTATCCCCACCCTTCAATAAAAAGATTGCTAGAATTTTTATATTTTAATCTGAGAAGCTTTTGGATTTTCTAGATATAAAAACCACATTACTTATAATATGTCTCTGCCTTTTCAATATTCATTATTCTTTTCATAGCTTATTGCCTTATAAGAACTTATGTCAATCTAGCCTTGAACTTGGGTCTTTTCAGTTTTGTTTGTTTCTAGAATCTACCGTGGCTCATACTAAGACAGTGGAGAGCAAAATCTCTAAGGCCTTCTTCACTTGAAATGCTGCCATGCTAAATCTTTCATATTCTATATCTGTGTACCAAGTTACTTTTTTAAAACAAATGTAAGACTTTATTTTCTTCCTTATTGGCTTACTAGAAACAGCCTTTCCAAAGTAGATACAAATACATGTATAATGCCAAAGTTTGTTAAATTAATTCTAAATCTTTGTTTCCTAAAAGGATTGAAAGTGAAGAAATATTTCCAAGAAAAAAAATAAACAAAGATTCTTCATACCTTGCACCCATTTTGCGGTTGAATTGTAACAAAGCTTGTAAAAAGACAGCCAGTGGACAAAAGCAAAGTTTCAAGGCCTCGGTTGTTGCTTCTTGAACCAAGGATGGCCAGTGATCATTGGAAATATGAGCCTACAATAATATAAGACAAATATTAAATCAAAGCTTTTGACACGTTTACTTTAAAAGAATGCAATTCAACTGTCATTTATTGAGTGCCTACCTGTCCAAGTCACCATGTAAATGCCACAGGGAGCATAATTCTACAAAATTATTAAGATTTGATTTCTGCCTTTAAGGAGCTACAAAACAAGGTGGACTGGGATAAAGGAAGGTTTCAAAGAAGGGATATCACTTAAAAAACACTAAAATATTTGTTAAAAGAAAATGCACTATTCTATTATATAGGTTAATAAAACTTATCAGTTACTAAGCTTCTGAGGTACCAAACATACAAAATTCAATTTAACATGATTCTTTAACTGGTGGTGACAAATATTTCAAAAATTATCTAAGGAGAGAAGAAAAGCTGAAATGAAATACTTCAATAAAATCCCAATACAGAAAAAAGGTGCAAAGCAGATCAGATATAAAGACATTAAACCAAAGTCATCAATACTGAAAACTTTTTAAGAATTTCACTTTATGGAGAAAATGTTAAAATATCTATACACTACTTAGGTTGCAAACTTTAGTTTCTTATAATATGCATTGACTGGGAAATAACACAGATATGTATTTCCTAAGAAATACCTGAAAATAAAATGGTTAACACTCTACTGAATTATGTAGGAAGAAAAAAAATATTTTTAAAATCTTTCATTAAAAACCTCATATTGTAACCAAGATTTCATAATTACAGGTACCTAGAATACACATTTTAATAAAGCCAATATAATGAGTCAATACATAGTCCATTTCAAACACTAAATTATTAAAAAATATATATTAGAGCAATAAACTCTGAGGGGAACACAGGCGACAGTAATTTGTGTAATCAAAGAAGCTATAAAGAGAATGAATTTGAAAACAGAGAATGGAAGTTGTGAGGCATCTCCTATAAAGATGGGAGCAATGGGACCCTGTACATCTAGCAAAGAAAATAAGGCAAAGTCCATACTAATAAAATTATTCCTAATATATTTTTAAAAACCAATAACACAAAACTATCACTGGTTGCTTTTATAATGCACTCTCTAATTTCCAAGAATTCATATAAAGTATTCTGTAAAGGTAGCCCAAAGATTATTATGCAAGGAAAAAGTTTCTACATGTAACTGGTATATTAAACAATGTGATTAGAATGCACTTATTTTTGTCTCCCATTATGTCTTTAAAATGTATTATATGAGGGAGACTTTTCCTCTGTCCCTGGATATAAAATTACAGTAGGCCTCGTGACTCTTACATCTATTTTTCTTACATTCATTCACAAATACAGTCTTAATTAGAATGTCCTCTTCTTTTTAATACTTCAACCTTGACTCAAAGGTAATATTTGCACCCTACTCCCATCTCCTCAGCTCCCACCTAGAGTATGGTTACAGGCAGCAGCAGATGGCTGCTCCTCCTCCCAACACTCCCACCTTGTCTTGCTAATTGTAGTTTCAGGCCTCTACTGAAATACCAGAAGTTTGTATTTGACTGGTGCCATTATAAGAAGATGTCTAGTTCTCCAGGCTTGACAGATATTTAAAACTTTTTTTCTGATCCAGACTTTCCAGGCTTTACCAGAGACACCCAATTTCATGGGACCAGTTATGTAATCAGTGCGATTCTCCAAGGCTTCTTTTGTATCTTTCTATGTACCAATAAGCACGCACACCCACACACACAGGATGCATTTAGAGATATATATTCTTAAAAATATATACCACACATACATACACTCTAACAGGATATCATGCACACTGTTACACAGTTTTCCCCCCAACACACCCACTTAAACATTTATCTTGAAGAGTTTTCCACACTAGCACATAGGACTTCTAGATCAATAGACCTAACTTGGTATCAGAAAACAGATGTCAAGTCAAAAATTACTGGAAATCCCTCTTACAGAACGTCAAATTGAACTGAGAAATGACTGAAATGTTAATTATTGGCATCTTTGTCACAGATGAGTAGCTGGGTTAATTCTAACTTAAATCATGAACAAACAAAAATGTATATTCTCCCATAATTCAACTTTTAAAATTGCAATCTTTGTTTTTTCCCCAAACATTGACAATGTTCTGCTGGAGTCCATGGGTTTATTTTACTCTTATATCCATCAAAAGCCCAAATCGAAAGTCTGTGAGGAGGCCACACTAGAAGGCAATGAAAGAACAGGGACTCAACAGAATATCACTATGTAAAAAGCTTTCATCTTAAAGAAAAATACAAGAATCAATTTTTCATGATCATAACTATAACATGCTCTTACCCTGCAGACTTCTAATGCAAGCAGTGCTAGTCTCAACAGACTTGAGAGCTTCCCACTCCAACTGCCCTGTTGGGATGCTACTTGTAGACTCTTTCTATAACACATCTCTGCAGCACCCATCATTCCTTGGGACTGATATATATGTGCCAGCCACTGCAGAACAGAAAGAGAGAAGAATCCCAAAAGATTTTAATTTAGTACACAGTCTGATACTCCACTTCCAACAAATTCAATAAACTTAGATGAATTTTTTTTTTTTTTGGTGAGAAAGATTAGCCCTGAGCTAATATCCATTACCAATCGTCCTCTTTTTGCTGAAGAAGATTGGCCCTGGACTAACATCCATGCCCATCTTCCTCTACTTTACATGGGACGCTGCCATAGCATGGCTTGACAAGCGGTGTGTTGGTCCGCGCCCAGTATCCAAACCTGCGAACACCAGGTCGCCAAAGCAGAACGCACGAACTGAACCGCTACGCCACAGGGTTGGCCCCTAAGTTTTTTATTTAATTATTAGTAACTTTGTGCCCAAAAGATAAAAATCATAGGTCAGGAAGGGGGTAGCCAACTTGCCCATTCTATTAGCAACAGCTTCCTAATCACACCTAGTCTGAAGTCTTAAAAAGTCTCCCCAAATGGCAAGTCAGAAGCAAAACCAAAATGCAATGTGAAAACAGATATATCAGGTAAACATTAACCAAAAGAAAGTTTGTACAGCTGCATTAACATCCAACAAAGTAGACTTTAAGACAAGAAATATTAAGGGATAACGGGAGCTGTTTCATCATGACGAAAGCGTCAATTCAACAGGAAGATGTAATACTCCTACATTTGTATACACCTCGTAACACAGAATTTATGAAGCAAAAGTTGACAGAAATTAAAAAAGAAACAGATAAGCCCAGGATCAAAGCTGGAAATTTTAACACACCTATCACAGCAATGATAAAAGAAATAGACAAAAAAAAAAAAAATCAGTAAGGATACAGAAGATTTAAACATAATGAACCAGCTTGACTTAAATTACATATTTAGAAGACTATACTCAATAACTGCAGAATACACATTCTTTGTAAATGTATATGCAACATTTACTAAATCTGACCATATGCTAGGTCATAAAGCAAGTCTGAACACATTTCAAAGAATTGGAATCATACAAAGTCTATTCTGATTTAGTGGAATTAAAGTAGAAATCAGTAACAGAAAGATAACCAAAAATTCCCCCCATATTAAAAATTTTGCAACATGCTTTGGAAAAAAGATTAGTCAAAGAAGAAATCCCAAGGAAAATTATAAAACGTTTTCAAATGAATGACATGGAAGCACTATATAAAATCTTGTGGGGTGCATATATTTGAGAAAGATGGAAAATCAATGATATAAGTTCCTATCTCAAGAAGGTAGGGGAAAAAAATAAATCCAAAGAAAGTAAAGAAAACAACAGAGAAGAAATCAATAACATGTAAGATAGTATAATAAAGAAAATCAAAACAAAAAGTTGTTTCTTTGAAAAGTTAATAAAATTGCTTGCTATCAAGAAAAAAATTAGAAAACACAAATTACCAGTAAAAGAATGAAAAAGGGAAAATCATTACAGATTTTACAAACATTAAAAAGAGGATATCATAAAATTTGAAATTGAGATGTGCTGGACAAATTCCTTGCAACTCACCAATGCTAAAGAAACAGGATATCTTAATAGTCCTATTTAATCTCTAATAATAAAAAAAAAAAACCTTTCCACTAAAGAAAATTCTCGGCCTGAATGGCTTCAATGGTGAATTCTTCCACACATTAAAGAAATAAATGTCACTCTTAGACAAACTCTTTCAGAAAATGAAGAAAAGAATAACAACATAGATACCAAAACCTAACAAGGACCTTATGAGAAGGAAAAATTACAGGCCAGTCTCTCTCATGAATATAGGTACAAAAATTCTAAACAAAGATATTAACAAATTGACTCCAGCAATATATAAACAAAATAATACATCATGACCAAGTAGGGTTTCTTCTAAGAATGCAAGTTTGGTTTAACATTTGAAAATCAATGCAATCAATCTACCACATTAACACAACTAAAAAAAGAACAGATGCCACCCCAACAAAATCTGATAACTCAATACCCATTCAAGATAAAAAACAAACAAATCTCTCTCGACAAATTCAGAACAGAAGAGAACTTTCTTAATCTGATAAATATATCTACAAAAACCTACAGCAAACATCATTTTTAATAACGAAATAGTAAATGCTTTTTACCTGAGGTAGAGAATAAGACAAGAATGTTCACTTATCATCACTTCTATTTAACATTATATTCAAGGTTCTGAACAGTGCAATATGGCATGATAAAAAATAATACAAAAATATTGAAAAGAAAAAGTAAAACTTTATTATTCACAAATGACATAACTGTGTATGTAGAAAATCCAAAACCATTTCAAAAGAATAAGTGAATTTAGCAAGGTTGCTGGAGGGTCAATTTACAAAAGTCAACTACATTTCTAAATGTTTAGAGCTAACATACAGAAAAAAATTACCAATGGAACAGAAAATATCAACTAACTAGAAATAAATTTAATGCAAGAATGTAAAAGACCTCGATGTTGAAAACTGTAAAACATTGCTGAGAGAAATTTAGAATTTAAATAATTTGAGGAATATACCACATTCATGAATAGAGAAACTCAGTAGTATTACTTTGTAACTCTCCCCAAATTAAACTACAGATTCATGCAATTCCAATCAAGATCCAAGCAGGACTTTTGTTTGTGGCAGGAGGGAAGGGTAATTGACAATTTATATGTAAATGAAAAAAGACCTAAAATGAGAGCCAGTCCTGATGGCCTAGTGGTTAAAGTTTGGGGCACTCTGCTTCAGCGGCCCGGGGTTCAGTTCCCAGGCATGGAACCACACCACTTGTCTGTCAGTAGCCACGCTGTGGCGGCAGCTCACATAGAAGAACTAGAAGGACTTACAACTAGAATATACAGCCATGCACTGGGGCTTTGGGGAGGAGAAAAAAAAAAAAGAAATAGGACAAAAAAAAAAGACCTAAAATGACTGAGACAAATTTGAAGAAGAACAACAAAGTGGGGGGTCTATTACCTCCACACATCAAAAATGAATTATAAAGCTATAAGCAAGACTAAACAAATAGATCAATGGAAAAGAATCAGGAGCCCTAAAAGACCCACACATACACAGTCACCTGATTTATGACAAAAGCATCACTACAATTCAGTGGGAACAGGATGGTCTTTTCAAAGAATTGTGCTGGGACAATTAGATATCCATATAGAAAAAAATAAACCTTAACCCTCTATATTCACAAAAATTAATCCAGGATGGATCATAGACCTACAAGTGAAAGGTAAAACAATAGTTTCTAAAACAAAACATAAAAATATCGTTATGAACTTGGAGTAAGCAGAGTTCTTAAATACAACACCTCAACAAAGCATTAACCATTAAAAATGATAAATTAGACTCCATTAAAATTAAGACCTAGTCATAAAAAAGTAACAATAAGAGAGTACTAGGCCAAGGCACAGACGTTAGAAAATATCTGCAATACAAATATCCAAAAGCGTGCTTGTATCCAGAAAATATAATGAATTCCAACAATTCAATAAGAAAACAGCTGATGAAAAACTACACTAAAAAAAAAGGCACTTTAAAAAGAGGATATCCAAAGGTTTGATAAGCATAAGAAAAGTGGCAAAACATCATTGGTCATCAGGTAAATTCAAGTTACAACCACTACAAGATACCATTACCTACATATCTACTGAAAAGGGGAAAAAAAATAACCACCATCTGGCAATATCAGCAATGGGAATGCTCAGAATTTGCTGATGGGAACATAAATTGGAAAACCACTTTAGAAAACTGTTTGACAGGACTTATTAAAGTAAACATACATATACCCTATCACCTATCAAAAGACATATCCAGGATGGACATAGCAGCATCAATCATAATAGCTAAAATCTGGAAATAATCCAAATGTCCATCAACAGTAAAAGGGACATATTTAAGAGTATATTCATAAAATGAAATGAAAAAACTATGGCTACATGAAACAACTAAATGAATCTCAGAGACATGATGTTGAATGAAAGTAACCAGATACAAAATAAGACTCCATTTACATGAAGTTCAAAAACTGGCAAAACTAGACAGAAGTGACAGAAGTCAGAATAGTGGGTCTCCCTTTTTTTCGAGGTGGGGGAAGATCAAAGCGAGAGGCAAGAGGAGGGCAGCTAGGTTGCTGGAAATGATTGTATCTTGATATAGGTAGTGGTTAAAGAGGGACATACATATGTAAAAATATAATGAGGCATATTTTTAAGATTTTTACACTCTATTCTTTGTGAATTATATCATAGCATAAGATAAAACATACATGCTACCTCTTAAGACTTTACTTTAATTTATCTTTTAATTTTTCCCTTTTAGTTTGACAAGGTATTTTTCCCCTTGATAAAGAATATGAGATCATCAATATCCAGTCGACCTTAGCGTCCCTTAATGCTCATATAGCAAACACTCTAAGAGAGATAAAAAGCACTATCTTTCTTCAAGGATTACAGTAAGGAGGCTTAGCTTGCATAATCCAACTTTTGCCATTATAATGATAATCGTTTTAAGCAGGGACATCAAAAAATTGATAAAATGCAAGATCAAAATGAAGAAGAAATTGTGGTAAAATAAGCTTCTGTAAAATCTATACCAAAAAGCTCCTCTGATATTTTCTCTGAAGCACAGAGGGAACTGTAACAAACTGAACAAAGTAATTACGTGCTTTCTGTATTTTAATATCAAGAAGAATAAAGTATATAATGATCATGATATATTTGCCATGTGGATAACCAGAGCCAGCTAAAAGGGCAGTCTGTTGATTCGGGCATCAAATCTGAAAATAACTATTTCTTAAAGCACTAAATATCCATTAAAATCTTGGATATGGGTTACCCGTAAAGTAACTAAGGAAAAACTACATACATCCCCTCTAAAGGTAGAGTTAAAGACCGTTATGCTAACCGTATTATAAAATGTTTTAAATGTAAATAAATAAATGTAAACGTAAATAAAAGGTAACACTTCTTTAGCTCTCTTATATCAACCCCATGTAAAACATTCAACATTGTTTTAAATTGAGGAAATTTATAATCAACAATTAAGAAAGCTTTGAAGTACTGTAGCAGCAGATCCTAAATTAGTATTCAATTTCCTGAGTTTCTCTAATCACAATACCCTTTAAATCTTGAAAATGAGAGATATATGGTGAGTTTACAGACAAAAAAAATATAAATGGAGTATACTCCTGACCTCATCTAATATGATGGAGTATTTTAATTCAAGACTCAGGTAAGAAGGAGAGAATTTACCTGCCAAGCTGGAACAGAGGTTGAGTTGGACATGACTGTTTTTTGCAGCTCTTCAAGTACAGCATCTGGGAGAGGCTTTCGCGACTGCAGGAGTGGTTTACACTGAACTTGTCTCAAAAGTAAGATAACAGCTGGCTGATCAGGGTTACTTTTTAAATTCTAAAAATAAAATCCCAAATAGAAATACATCCAATAGGTTCTTAAATGTTAAATGTAAAAGGCGATTATTTATTTTTTCCCCCAAAGCCCCAGCAGATAGTTGTATGTCATAGTTGCACAGCCTTCTGGTTGCTGTATGTAGGATGCGGCCTCAGCATGGCCGGAGAAGCGGTGCGTCGGTGCGCGCCCGGGATCCGAACCCGGGCCGCCAGCAGCGGAGCGCACGCACTTAACCGCTAAGCCATGGGGCCAGCCCCGTAAAAGGCGATTATTAAGCTATTCTCCATGTTGGGAAAAAAATCTGAATTTACCCTTTTCTTATTAAAAGATAAACAACTGCAAAAGTAAAATAAATAAAACACTGAACATCTTGGGAATATCAAACTCTACATTCAAACTTTAAAATCGCTAATGCTATTATTGTAGTTTATGTCATTTATTTTAGATTAAGTATATCCCTTTGACTTGGTTTATTCTCAGGTGATATGCTGAAAAACTCAGGTTCTGAATTTCAGGAGGTAGCTAAACTAAGAAAATATAAAATTAACAGTGAAGGCTAACACTATTCCTTATTGGAAGAAGCCATACTATATAAGGAGAGAGCTATAAATCTTTTCCTTTCTCAACCTCTTAACAAAGATATTCATTGCACATCCTCCCTCCAGGCACAGACTTCTTACACTTTGGGAGTAAGAGAAAGATCTGTTTACCCATTTCCTTAAGCTATTATTTGTACCCTAAAACACATACATACATAAATAAATGTATTGTACATATGTATATGTAGCTCCTTCCATATATATATATACATATGGAAGAAGTCAAAGAAAGTTCTCTAAATAAGTCCTTCCACTATTGTTTTAAATACTTCTTTATTGCTTGTCCCTCAATAACATACTTCTTTATTTTTTATTAATTAGGTCATAGTCTTAAACATATTTATTTCTAAAATGTATGATTTCTTTCTTCTAAGTAAGAATTGGAACAATAAAATGACAAGGAAAGGTGCATAAAAGTATCCCTTATTATGTCAGAGAGAGCATAGCAACTGTCACTTTATGCTTGCTAAACACTCACTGTATAATCTTAACCTGTCCTGAACTTGGAGGGAATTTCTTAAATAAAAGAGAAAATTTATTACTCTACTTTTCAGAAAATTCAAGGACCAAAGGGATCTTCAAATATTCATTCTTCTTTCTCTGTAAAATTTACATTGATCTCTCAAAAAACATTTCTAGAAACACAACACAATCTCCCTGGTAAGTATTTATGAAAAAAGATGTTTTCAGGAAAAGTGACGTTTAAAATTCTCTTTATCCATTTAACTATTTCTGAGTAGGTTTATGAAGCTGATTTATTCATTCAATAACTATTTTTTGAGCCCCTACTATGTGCTAGGCAAGGTGCTAAGAATTTACTCACAGAACCTACAACCTAGGTATGTAAAAACTGACTACTGAGTAGTTTCAGTCACCTACTTAATCTCCACAATCATTCTGTTTGGTTCAGAACTTTGGAAAAATGCAAAGATGCTGGAAAACAGCATTCTGAAGCGAGTAATCAGAAATCAAAGGAAAATACTGCCTCCATAATGTTATCAAAAAAAAAAAGGCCTATTAAGGCCTTAAGTCCTAGAGTCAGACAAATACAAGCCCAAATGGCAACTATATCAATTTCTAGCTGTGAACTCCTGTGCAAATTACTTATCCTCACTATGCCCTGGTTTTCTCATTTGTAAAAATGGGAACAATAATAAATATGTATGTCATACGATTGTTGTAAAGTTCAACTACAAACTGCTACATGTATTGACTGGCTTACAGTAAGTACTCAACAAATGCTGGGAATTATCATCATCATCATCACCACCACCACCACCACCACCACCACCACCACCACCACCATACGCTCTTCAAATAACATGCACTCTATTTTTAAAGTTATTTTCCAAGTAGGGTAAGAATCCATGAATCTCAACGCTCAATTCTGTAACAGTACCTTTGTGCAAAGGGCTTCAGCTTCAGATATCCTTCCTGTGTCTACCAGACCAGTGACAGCTTGGGAGAGAGACCACTTTTCAAGAGATTGGTTGTAATTTTCAAGGAATTCTTTGTCCTTAACTGTAAACAAAAAACATCAATGTAACTTTCTTCTGCCATTTATAATGTATCCTCAGAGGAGTAATTAGTTGCTAGGAAGTATTATTATTAGACTTGCCATGCATATATAATTTTTAAAACTTACATGTACCAGTGGAATACCTTAGACTATCCTGACATGAGATAGGTTTCTGAAAAGTTTCATGGTAGGAATATTTGTGGTTGAATAACTTAAGACTTTATGTACTTGTGACCTACATCAAAAACCACTATATCTGCAGTAAAACTGAAAATAATTCATTGAAAAAAATTAAAGATTTATTGTGATATAATTGACATAAATTACACATATGCACGTATTCGAACTGTACAACGTGATGACTTTCGACATAAGTATACACGCGTGAAACATCACTATAATCAAGATAATGAACATACTCATCATCAAGAAAAGCTTCCTCCTACCCCTTTAGAATCACTTCTGTCCCCAACAGACCTCTCCTCTTACTCTCTGTCCCCAGGAAACCACTAACCACTTTTAGTCAGAATAGATCAGTTTGCATTTTCTAAAATTTCATATAAATGGAATTGTAAAGTATAAACTCTTTGGCATCTTTCACAGCTGTTAACATAATAAATTACATTCATTTTCAAATGTTAAAGCAACCTTGAATTCCTAGGATATACCCCACGTGATCATGATGCATTATTATCTTTTTTATGTGTTACTGGCTTTGAATTGCTAAAGTTTCGTTATGAATTTCTGCATCTGTAGTAGTTTAGTAGTTTGCTTGTAATGTCTTTGTAATGTACGGTTTTTGCTTGTAATGTACGGTTTGGGTATCAGGGTATTGTCAGCATCCTAGTAGAAGGCAGGAAGTGCTATCACCTTTTCCATTTTCTGGACAAGTTTGTGTAGAACTGGTATTCTTACTTAAATGTCTGGTAGAACTCATCAGTGAAGCCATCCGGTCCTGGAGTTTTCTTTGTGGGGAGATTTTAACTATAAATTCAGTGTCTTTAATAGACATAAAGCTATTTAGTTTATTTCTTCTTAAGCGAGTTTTGTGTCTTTCAAAGAATTTGTCCACTTTATCTAAGTTGCCAAATTTAATGGCATAAAATTGTTCATGAGATTCTCTTATTAGCCTTTTAATTGCTATAGTGATGTACCCTCTTTCATTCCTGACATCAGTACTCTGTATTTTTTTTCCTGATATTTCTGGCTAGAGGTTTATCAATTTTATTGATCTTCTCAAAGAAATAGTTTTTGCTTTTGTTGCTTTTCTGTTTTCTATTTCATTGATCTCTACTCTTTATTATTTCTTTTCTTCTGCTTACTTTGGGATTAATTTCCTCTTCCTTTTTCTAGTTTCCTAAGGTAGAAGCTGAGATATTGATTTGAAGCCTTTCTTATTTTCTAATGTAGACACTTAAAGTTATAAACTTCCCTATAAGTAGTGCTTTAGTAGCATTGTAGAATTTTGATACATTGTTTTTCATTTTCATTCAGTTAAAAATATTTTCTAATTTCCCTTCTGATTTATTCTTTGACCTGGATTATTTAGAATTATATTATTTAGTTTCCAAATATTTGGGAATTTTCCAGATATTTTTTCTGTTATTGATTTTTAATTTAATTCCATTGTATCAAAATAATATACTATGTATGATTTGAATCCTTTTAAATTTATTTAGACCTGTTTTATGGCTCATAATATGATATATCTTGGTAAATGTTCTGTGTGCAGCTGACAACAATATGCATTCTGCTGTTGTTAGGAGAAGTGTTCTATAAATGCCAATTAGGTCAAGTTAGTTGCCAGTGTTGTTCAAGTCTTTATTATAACTTTACTGATTTTCTGTCCAATTGTTCTATCAATTATCAAAAGAAGAGTGTTGAATCTCTAACAATAATTGCTGATTTGTCTCTCTCTCCTTTAAGTTCTGTAAGTTTTTGCTTCATGCATTTTTCCATAATTTCATTTTTTCTACTTATTTTACTGTGAAATACAACACTGATTTTATGTGTTTTGAAGCTTTGTTACTCGGTGCCTAAATATTTAGTATTGTTACATCCTCTTGATAAATTGATTCCATTGTGAAACGACCCTCATCACCGGCAATATTCTCTGTTCTGATACCTAATTTGTCTGAATACAACAGGGCCATTCTAGCTTTCTTTTGATTAGTGTTAGCATGGTATATCTTCTTCCATCCTTTTACTTTTTAGGCTATTTTTGTCTTTAAATATAGATTTATATTTTGCCTAGCTTCTTTTAGGTAGTATATAGTTGGCTCTTGCCTTTTTATCCAATCTGACGACCTCTGCCTTTTAACAGGAGTATTTAGACCATTTATATTTAACTTGATTACTGATATGGTTGGGTTTAACTCCAGTGTGTTGTTATTTGTTTTCTATTTGTCTTATGTATTCTTTGTTCCCTTTTCCTCGTCTTTTGGATTATTTTCTATTATTCTATTTTATCTACTTTGTGACTTCTTAGCTATAACCCTATTTTTTTAGTGTCTACTTTAAGGTTTAGAGTATTTATCTTTAACCTGTCACAGTCTATGGTTAAGTAATATTATACCACTTCACTTACAGTATAAAAACTTTACAATAGAATGCTTCCATTTCCCCTCCTGGTCTTTTTGCCATTGCTGTCATATGTACTTTAAACAGTCAATTACATTTTGAAGAGATTTCTATCATGTGTCATATGTGGATCTGTTTCTATTGATTGATTTTTCTCCTTATTGTGAGTGGTATTTTTCTGCTTCTTTGCATGCCTATTAAGTTTTAACTGCATACCAGACATCGTGAATTTTACCTTGTTGATTGCTGGATAATTTTGTATTCCTATAATGTTCTTGAGATTTCTTCTATATGCAGTTAAGCTTCTTGAAAATGACTTGATATTTCCAAGGCTTGTTTTTAAGCTTTGTTAGATGAGACCATAACAGCCTTTACTGTAGAGCTAATTATACCCATCACCTTTTGGTAATATGCTTCCGAGTACTTTACCCTGAATTTACCATGTATAAAATGCTTTTTTAAACTTACTTGAAGCAGAAACAGCAGATAACAGTGCCAAGTATAAATCCACCCTCTTTGGCTGAGTGTTGTTCACTAAAGCCAGTTTATCATCAGCATGACACGCTGCCATTAGCCCAGCCCAGATAGCAGGATCACCTAAACACAGGAAATATAGTTAGCAGGCTTGTTAATAGCCACATGTTGCTGAAAAACTACCAAAATGAGAGTAAGAGTTCACAAATACCAAATAAAATAAAATAAAATAAATTGTATCTCCAGAAAAATTCCATTTCCATTCTGAAAAGATTCCTTGGAGTACCATCAATCAAAACTGTACTTTGTTCAACTAAAGATCTACAAGGAGTAGGTGTACAGGTACCACACGTAACTACAATTATATTTACTTTCATTGGACTCCAAGTCTCAAACAGGCACTCATCTTTATCCCTTAGTCCCTGTTTTAAGCTTCTTATATGATGACTCTGCTTCCTTGAGTATGTATTTCTTCAGAATATATGGGAAAGTCAGAAGAGCATTAGAGAAGAACTCATCTGGGCAATCTCACCTTTCTAAAGTTTATGTCACTTACACAATCAAAGGCTAACAGATCCTCTATCATTTTAGATCCACAGTAAGAATTCTTAAGACTAATTCTATCTAATACCTGCTAAAGAATACCTTTAAAAATCAGAAACTTACCCAACGTATAACAGACAAATCCAAATGTTTAGGGTCTCTTTTTGTTCTGATCATTTCAAAAATGAAAGAATAAACAACAGGATAGTGGTCTGTTTACTTATTTCATAAAATAATCTCTAATATGTTAGATATTTTGTAATTTAGTTAGGATCTTTACAGTTTATTGTGAAGATAACATTGAACCTATTCTGTTTTTTTTGTTTGTTTTTTTGTTTTTGTTTTTGTTTTTTTTGTGAGGAAGATCAGCCCTGAGCTAACATCCATGCCAATCCTCCTCTTTTTGCTGAGGAAGACCGGCTCTGAGCTAACATCTATTGCCAATCCTCCTCCTTTTTTTTTTTTTTCCTTTTCTCCCCAAAGCCCCAGTAGATAGTTGTATGTCATAGCTGCACATCCTTCTAGTTGCTGTATGTGGGATGCCACCTCAGCATGGCCAGAGAAGCAGTGCATCGGTGTGTGCCCAGGATTCGAACCCAGGCTGCCTGTAGCGGAGCGCGCGCGCTTAACCGCTAAGCCACAGGCCCGGCCCCCTATTCTTTGCACAACTTGTTTTCCAACAGCCCCAACCAAAAGCAATAGCATTCTGATCTAACAAATGTTTGAAGTGCTCTGGGGGAATAAATTGTTTAATACTATATTTCATATTAAAAATAATATTATGTAAAAATACACCTCATAACCCCACTTTGCTAGACATTCCAGTCCTCTAAGTCATTTCTCCGGTAGTGTTAATAGAAGCAGCTGATGCAGTCACATGCAGTTCTCCAGGACCTTTTCTGATCAGCAGCATACATACGACATAGCTGGTTAGAACTAAGAAGAGCTAGCTCAGGTGAGGCCAGCACCTTGCATTTTGAACAGTTACCAAAGAAGACTAATCTCCACTCTTCAAGGAGCTAACTACACATAAAAATAACTAAATATGTTTATTAAATAATTTAGTGGCTATAGGTAAACCTCATTAAACCAGACTTATAGGAAACAAAACTACTTCCTGAAAATATATAATTCAGATTTTTCAATAATGGGGAATAAAGTATCTTTAAGCAGATATTCCTTTGAGTCTACTTCAATAATTGATTATCTCTTAATTATCAGTAGCCAAATGCAGATACTCAAATAATAATATTTTCTTAAAATTCCCTTGTCTTATTTCATAAAAATACCAACTTTGCTCCTATAAGTCACAAATGCAAAACAGACAGAATCTTAATTAATAAAATGGATTATACTATATTCACCTGGAGAAAGGAGAGCTGCCTTCTGAATGGTCTTTAGTGCAATATTTTTTTCATCTTCTGCTGAACTGCTTCCCATAGCCAACTGATTTACTGCAGTGTACAGTAATGCCTTCTACACAAGAGAAAAGAAGGGTGTTAACCAGTTCAGCTCCCTGACTTTCAAAGTGACTAAAAGTAGGTCTATATTGGATATGATGTGACTCCTAAGCCCAGGAAAAAAAATTATTCTTCCATCAATAATATTATTTAACAAGTAGAACACTTCCTTTATACTGGGACAAACTAACCTTTCCATGATTTGAGTCCAGAATATGAGCCACATTTCCTGCTACAGCACCTCCCTAGATAATAGAAAATAATTGATTATTTGGATAAATGAACAAACTTTCACAAAATAGTAAACATTAATACCGACAAAATCTTTCCATTAAATCATTTGAGAAGTTTGGTTTTACCACATTCATAACTTCTAAACTCTTTAAGTATCAACGTATTATTACTGCTTTAAAAGCCCAGTTTAATATTTTTATGAAAGAAAATCTTTTCTACTACAATCATTTCAACTCTGCTCTTTTAAAATACTCATTAAAAGTCCATAAGTTACATGATTTTACAGTGGTACCAAACAAATGTATACATTTTCTAATCATATAAAAGACTGTGAAAGAAAGAAAGATTAAAAGAGAAAAAGAGAGAGAGACCACAAAACTTACTGTAAGATAATCTAACGTGCTTTTACTCCACGGAAAGTCAGTATTTTAAAAACTTTCCAAGTCCCTAGTAAAACGAGTAACTAAAGCACAGAGCACCATGAAGCTCATCACTGCTTCAATAATCAACACTAAACAGGAGAAAAATATATGCAGCATCATAGTTTTCATAAAGTTGATTTGAAATCCTTAATTTTTAAAAATTCAATTAGATATTTTACCTGGAAAAGAAAGTGAATTATAAGAATGATTTGATTTTAAATCAGAAATATACTGTACTCTTCATTTTCCATCAAACGTGTGTTAGAAATGTTTTCAAAACCATATTTAGCATACAGAGAATGCTAAAAATAAACATAAAAAAATATGTCAATACAAAACAAATAGAGATGAATTAAAAAGAACAAAGAGAACACAGCAGAGTAGAAGGAGGATTCAGGAGTTAGATGTGGGATGATCCATCACTACAACTATGATTTTTGCACAAGTTATTTAATCTCTATGTTTCAAGTGTCCTCCTCTGTATAAGGGATATTAATTGCAGCTACTTCAAATCGTTGTTGGGATTAAATGACAAAATATATTTTAAAAAATGCCTAGCATAGCAGCTGGCACACATGATGAGTACTTCATTCCAGTGTCTAATAACGACTGTCTTCTAGGTTCTTTGCACCAACTCATCCACTGAAAATGACTAAAAATGTAGGATAAAAAGTGTGATCTGTACACCAGCAGTATCGACGTTCCCTGGGAGGCTATTAGAAATGCAGACTATCAGGCCTCACTCCATACCTACTGAATTAGGATCTGCATTTTAACAAGATCATCAGGTGATTTCATTTGTACATTAAAGTTTGAGAAGCACTGGGATAAAATATAAAAAACATGTATTTTCAAAGCATTGAATAACTAACAAGATATTAAGAACTTGCCAGGCCAAAACTAAAAGGGAAAACTGGAAGCCAGAGAGGTAAGTGAGCAGGGAAGCCACTTCTGCCATTTGCAGATCCTAACAAATCTGAATTTTCTTTTTGAAGGATTCGTGGGCTAGTGGAGAGAAATTAAAGCCCAGGGCTCACACAAGAAAGGCAGCATCTAGGAAGCCCACGTCAAAATGAGCTGAGAGCCCCCTCACATTAAAGGTGAATCAGAAGTAAAGTAGGTTTAAAAATTCAAAAGACCTTGAAATCCAGGCACATAGTAGCCTGTTTGGTCCAGAAACCTCAAGCTCTAAACCTTGTTTAAGGTGGTTCCACACTGGTGGAGCTCCCAAGCACCTGGCAAAAATAAATACAATTTCTAGAGAAAAGTATCTTAATCCTAGGCCTCAAATTATTTCCACAAATAATTTTCAAGTAAACACAATCAGGTAAACAAAGAAACAAAGCCATCATGTGTAAAAACCAGTAGGAACAACAAGCAAAAACAGACCCACAGAGACTTCAGATACTGGAATTATTTGATGTATTAAGTGTTCAAAACATATTAGCTATTACCATTATGTTTACCAACTAGTTAAGAAAACTATGAAAGAACATATTAACCAAAGAAGTTAACAAAATACTTTATAGACTCCTGAAAGTATCTGGCTATTATGAACCAAAATACAGCATATAATCCCTTTTGTAGAACATCAATGACTTCATGTTTTGATTTACACTTTCAGACATTAGCAGTGTTCTAGTTCTTATTTTCTTATCTTTAAGAAGCATTTAAATAAAATTATCCTTTGGGATTCAAAAACACAATAGCTAATGCTTACTAAATGGCAACATTTCAAGCATAACCTTACCACATAACCATTAACATAATCTGTACGCGTTCAGAAAAGTCCACCTACTTCTTTGTCTCTTCCATAACACTCAGAACAGTACACGGAAGAAACTCAGTGTACTACTTGTTGAATGACTAATGGAAAACTGCATTAAATAACAGAACTCCCTTGCTGTATTAGTTAACTATTTTTCAGAATGATAATGATAATACTTTAAAATTATATTATTTACCACATCACAAGTTATTTTATCTTTTTGCCAGAATTTAGAACATTACTCACCTTTGCATTTCGTTGGGCATACTGAGCAACCACTTGGGACAACAGAGACCAAAGAGCAGGATCACCTGGGTTACTACAGAGATCATCAAAGGCAGAGGGCTTAGAGATGGGAGTTACTTTACCCACAAAAAGTAGAAGCAACGAACATTTTATTTAGTACCTAAGTTTAAAATCTTTTAGACATCTAAAACAAGTTCATATTAATTGTCCATGTGGGGTTGAATGTGTCTTAATTTTAGAAAAAATACTTTATGTCTCCTATATATAGCAATAGTCCTTATGAATATAAAAAGGAAAAACCAGCAATGTGATGATTATAAAGCCATGAGATCTAATTTTAAAAGGTTAAGGAAATGCAATATGCTGTATTCAAAGAAAACACAAAGAGATGGAAACTATGGAAGGAAAATAAACTATAGATATAACAGTTTACTGTTGAAAATAAAACAAATAAATACCCACCTTCTATTTTCCAAATTTTGAAAATATTAAATGAATGTTTGAGTGGTCAAAAAATTCCTAAAACCATTAAACTGGGCAGTACCAGATAAACTGACTGTCTCACAAATTTAATTAGTAAGAGCTTTCATACTAAAACAAGGTTTAAGCCTTAACTTGAATAAGGGCAAAATTTCTGCTCTACCTACTGAATTAAAAAAAGTCTTTACGGGTGAAATAGCATGTACAGTCAGTTACCTGGTCCTATGCACAATTTCATAAAACCACAAGTTGGTTTCCAAATATATATGCTTACCTTATTTTATATTCTTTTTTTTTTTTTTGCAAGGAAGATCGGCCCTGAGCTAACATCTGCCAATCCCCCTTTTTGCTGAGGAAGACTGGCCCTGGGCTAACATCCATGCCCATCTTCCTCCACTTTATATGGGATGCTGCCACAGTATGGCTTGCCAAGCGGTGTGTTGGTGCGCGCACAGGATCCGAACCGGCGAACCCCAGGCCGCCGCAGCGGAGAGCGTGCATTTAACCGCTTGCGCCACTGGGCCGGCCCCTCATTTTATATTCTTAATAAGGTCCAAATGTCAAAGACAACCTCCTCAAGTATAATTAGACCCCAAATTCACATGTACAGAATTTACCTGTGAACAGCTTTAGATGCTTGTCTCTGCACTGCCACACTGCGGCCTTGCAGTGCATAAATCGCTGAAGTAAGAAGGCACCTCTGATAACCACTGTCTCTCTGTTTGATGTGCTTCAGTAGCTCATTAAGTGCCGCCTTTGACAGTGTAGCATCCTGCATGGCCAGTCCTAGAGCACACAGGGTTTGAAGGCTTTCTGTGGTTGGCTCCTTTAAGACAGAGCTGTAAACATATTTTTAAATTGCCTATTGGCCGTGAGTACAGTAGTCTGTAACTATTAAAACATATTTAACATTAAGTAAAAAAAGCAATTTACTTAAAGATTCACCAAATAAGCCCAACTTTAAGATAAACATAAAAACAAATTCCTTGGCTTCTAAGGACAGCAATTTCCCTGAATGTCTGAAGCAGTTAAAAGTACCAACAGCTTTTTACAGAGCAGCAATAGCCAAATTTCCTTTCTGGTCATTATATCTAAGTTTTAGAAACAAATGTACATCAGCCTGTTTGGGTCTCAGTTCTAGGTAAATAATTAGAATAATTTTGCTAAAATGTTTAGTTTCAATAAAATCCTAGAAGGTATGAAAAATAAAGAAAAATTCTCAATGTAAGATCTGATTTTTATCATTCTCAGAAAACTTTGTCCTATTGCTCTGTGGTATCGAAACCAGAGATTAAAGTGCAAACTGCATCTATATCCACCATATTTCAAGTGAATATTTTTATAGTTTAAGGAGAATTTAAATTTTGCATGTAAACATCTAGCTTTTTTTTCTCCTTCAACTGTGAAATCTGATTTAGCCTTATGGAGGTAAAGTTAAGAATGTTTAAGAATCCTTATGAATTTAAATGAAGAAATCCTTAGCTCTCTACAAACTTAATAATACTTCTAATAATAATTATGAATTATTATACTAAAACAAAACAAAGGAACTTTCAAAAACTTTTTAAACAAAGTTCATTAAAATAGAAACATGAATAACTTTACAAAATATCACATATCTACCACTATGTCTTTCTGATATTTTTTGTAAGGGGGAAATAAAGTATTTAGAATTTAATTTTGACAAATAGGTATAAAATCATGAATTTTCATGGGCAGCTCTGGAGTAAACAGCTTACTTAAAGCACCCATTGTACTCTTTTTACAGTAAGGGTTAATAGATGTAGAAGTCCAAATATGGAAGAATATCAATCAGTCACAGTCATTTCTGTCAATACAAATAACCACACTATAAGTTGGTACAACTAAAAAAGCAAACAATAAAATATAAATTCCAACACTAACAACAAAAGAAGAAATTCCAATTTGTGCCTTGGTTCAAAAGAAAAAAAAACTATCTACTTTAATACTTGTATTTAATACACAAAATCTAAGTTGTCACTGAAATGACTACACCCCACTAAGCTAACGTGCGCTGAATGCTCAGTACCTGCATGTTGTTTTGTACCATGTTCTAGGGATTTTACATGCAGTTATTAATATCATAAATTCTATGAAGCTAGTAACTAGACTTTTTCCCCTTATATAGAACTTACTCCTATCCTCCTTAAATAAGCACCTAGGACACTGCTTAGTTCCCAACATATGAATGCCAAACAAGATCAATAAAGAATTGGTAAACTGAATTCTTCATAGAAAGGAAGTCAAAGAAAAGAAGCAAAGGGGCAGGGAGGGGAGCAGTTGGTAGTGTTAAGTTTGAAAGATGACATGCAGAGAATCAAAAACAATAAAAGAAACATATGTCAGATAAAATACCTAGCCCTGAACCCAATAACACAAAACAAGAGGAAAAGGTTTTCCTTCTCATAAGAGAAGAGGAAAAGGTTAAGATTATATTCTATTCTTTTTCCCCACTTCCACCAATGTTCAAACTGATTTTGGTTACTATTTTAAATAGCAACCCACGACTAATCTAATTGTGTTTAATTTCGGGTTGCTTTTGCCCTTGATAAGTACAGTAATATATTAGCATCTATGATTCTTGTCCCCAAGCCATTTGCAAATTTTGGTTCTCTGAACATGTTATATATAGCCATATATACACATCCATGTAATGTGACAAGATTTTTAAAAAATTATGATTAGTCTTCTCAAAATAGCAAAAAGGAAGAGAAAGAATTGCTTATTTATTATACCAGAAAATGACTTTAATCAGGATGGGACAAAAGCATCACAACGAATAAACAAATATAAAGTTTATCCACAGAAGAGGTTCTCAACTAGTACATCATATCATCTCCCTCTCTCCATCTTTGGGAGGAGTAATTTGGAGATATATGGAGGCAGTTTTTTGGTTTTCACAATGATTGAGGAGTGCTATTAGCATTTAATGGATGGGAGACAGGAATGTAATCTTCCTGCAATGGGAGGACAATTCTGTACTATTGGGATTTGCACCACTGAAAATGCCAATAAAGTAGTTATTGATAGCCACTATCCAATAACATATATTAATCATCTACTGCATTTAAAGGCATCTAAGGTCAACTTTCTAAAAAAAAAAAAAATTTCTTTAAGAAGTCAAAAAATACTAGGGGCTGACCTGGTGACGTAGTGGTTAAGTTCACACACTCCACTTCAGTGGCCCGGGGTTCGCAGGTTCAGATCCCAGGCGTGGACCTATGCACAGCTTATCAAGCCATACTGTGGCAGGTGTCCCACATATAAAGTAGAGGAAGATGGGCACAGATGTTAGCCCAGGGTCAATCTTCCTCAGCAAAAAGAGGAGGATTGGCAACAGATGTTAGCCCAGAGCTAATCTTCCTCACACACACAAAAAAATACTATATAAATAACCACAGATCTCATAGGCTATTATTTTATTAACTATTCCAAAAATATAGAAATAGATAGAAGTTATATTGGTATAATTTTTTTCTAAAGACTCAACTTTAAATGAACTTTATTTTATCAGGGTAACTTGAAGGGAAGAGGGAAAAAAATCTCTTTGGGGACATAAGAGACCAAAAAACATGCCAGATACGACTGCCTTCATTAAAATTTTAAGATCCTACTAGATCAGGTGATCAATTACTCTTTTAAAAAAATAAACAATACACACAGAGTACAGGATGGTTTTGAAGGATTGTATGGATCCAGAGCTAAGAATTAAGCCATGATCTCTAGCTCCACCCGTGACTGTCAATTCAGAACCAGGTGGGTCCAATCCCTTTTGTTCACCACAAAGTTCCTAAAACTTTAAGAACTTCATTTTACATTGCTCCAAATTTTAACCCAATATTTAAGTATCCGGTCATGCTAAGTATTAACGTCAACTATACATACCATTTAAATAGCAATGTCTTGGCTACGTCCATTTTTCCTTGTTTATACTCTGTTATTGCCAGAGCTGTCAAGATATGGGCTTTGTCTTGCTCTGATTCAACAATAGACAAGGCTCTCTCATAGGCTGTTATATAGAGTTGGAAACAAAAACAAAACAATATAAAAGCAATCATGATTGACAAACAGTGAGATTTCTCCTTTCCTAATCCTACTTTCCAAAAAAGTCATATCTTATTGTTTCCTTGTTTTCAAATAGATGGAATAAAAATTTATAATAATCTAACTGGGTGTAGCTGTTCCAAGGTGATCCTGGGGATATCATTAGTATTATGTGACATTCCCCAACTTCTATCTTCACAATAGGGGATCTAAGTCACTATCTTCAAGAGAAGTGGAGGCCTGTAGCCACTGACATATCACCAGAATTCCCATGTGCAGATTAGCAACTTCATCAAGCAGTAGATACCTACAACGAGCTGCACACACATAGGCTGGGCCTATATATGTGAAAATGCACTCAATAAGCATTTTTGGGGAAACAAAAATATACTAACAATCGTTGAGGTCTTCATTTATTAGAAATTTACATTTAAGCACCATGGAGTAGTAAAGACCTGCTTTCAAATGCTAACTCATATATCTACCATAAGCTGTCTTAGCCCTCAGTTTCCTCATCTAAATAATGAAGACAACATTCAGCTCATAACACTGCTACAAGGACTATTCATCATAATAATGTACTAAATGAGACAACAGATAAAAAGCACCTAGTATCGTTCCTGACTCCTAGTCAGATTTTAATAAATATTGCAACCCCTACTCCCATCTCAATATTACATCTTTCTGTATATAAGCTGATCATGATTAAATTCTACTCAGCTCTGGAAAAGAAAGATGTGCCCTTTAGCTTCAAGCAACATACTCACCTTTGCTGCTCTCCTTATATAGACCCTTCATAAATAAAGCCAATGCAAAACCTATGATGTCTTCTAACTCTTCAAGGGGTGTTGACTTAAAAGCCTGGATAGCTTTATCATATTCACCAATGGAACTAAGAAGCAAAACATAACTTACTTTTAATATCAAAAATAATTTTGGCTTATATCATCAAAATATAGAGATATCATTACACTAAGGTTCTTTTAATACCTTTACCTACTTCATCTATGAGTGTTAAAACTGTAGAAAAGACATAAGTTAAAAGAGAAGGCATACCACTTATTCCGAATAGGATGTACTTTGGGGATTTAACTTCACACTTTGCTTCTTTTAAATTATACGTGAAAATGATCAGCTCTGCTAAATTACAAAGTGTCTTTTTTTAACAAATTTGAATTAAAATCCTAAGTGATAAATATAATTTCAAGTTGACTTTTATACAGAACTCTAATTTTTTAAGCTTAATACATTAATTAAACATTACCCGATGAGTATGGTTCTAGCATCTTTGACAAGCTTAACAAGTGATAAAATACCTAGTCAGAACCAAACTTAGCTTTTGTGTAAACTGTTTATCTACACATTCATTTTTTTGGAGGGCATATAGATACAGTAAAATTCCACAGACAAAACGATACATTATCTTGTCTGTATTTAATAGGAAGAAAAGTAAAAAATGTTACATATGATACTACAATACTTCTTAGACACAGAAAAATAACTTTTGCTTATTTAAAAATGAAGAGAAGCTGCATCACCTGGAATAGACACATTATATCTTTGAAATTCTTATTTCTGGTATGCATCACTATAATCATAAGCTGTTTCTATTTCTAATGTGTTATTGGAAATCTTTTCATAAAATCTTTTTAGTCTTGGGGGGTATAAGTGGGAGCTAAAAATACAGGATACCTTTGCTTCTAAAATTAGTTCTATAAAGGTGAAAGAATTGAAAAATCAATAAACTCAAATTTTGATAAATATTTTGATGAAAGGAAGAGGACTACCTTAGCTTGTTTACGGATACATACATATATATTAAAGGTACTTTTTTAAATGAACACCATCTACAAACGTGATTATTTTCGTAAAGAAAAGAATGGAACCAGAGAAGGGGACAGGGGGGCTTCAACTTGATCAGTAATTTTTTCTTTGAAAAAGAAACCTGACGCCAAGTGACAGAATTTTAAGATCTGTTATATTTGAGTGATGACTATTCACTAAATTATGCTCTACAACTGTACTACGGCATTGTGCATGTTCAATATATTTCATAATAAAAACAAATTAAAAAGAAAACAAATGACCTATTTTCAGTGGGAAGTATAAATTTTCTTCTAAAATGTTTACATTATATGAAACATCAATATTAAAGAGAAAAGACACTTTGTTCCATACAATTTCTAACAACATATCTATCTTCTGCTACAACAAACTCTTGGAACTGATAGCGCTCTATCAACTCCTAAACACAGCAGTTTAAAAGAAGAGAAAGGAGAAGCAATCAGAATAGGAAAATTTTCTTGTCTATATATGATTCAGTTACATGGTTACAAAAGATCTGTCTACCTCAGATCTTTACTATGCAGCTCCTTAAAAGATGTAGGCACTTTCCCCCAAATATCACACCACAGTTCTAACAATGTGTTTCCAACTGGACCATTCAATTTGGGGGCAGCTCTCAACTTGAGGAATGCCTCCTTCACTTGAGCCAAAAACCTTCCTCCTCCCATAACACTTCTCTTCTCCAGTCCTAGTTCTATCCTCTAAAACAATTGGTTTTTAATCTTTTTTCTTTTTTTTTTTAATCTTTTTTGAAGTCAGAAGTCTTTGAGAATCTGAAGAAAGCTATTTGGCTCCCTCCACCTCCAAAATGCACACAAAAATTTTTGTGTACTATTTCAAAAGGATTTCTGGACCTCTAATGTCCATCCCCAGTTTAAGAACACATAGCAAATCAGAATAAATCCAATCCTCTTCCAATTAACTAGGCTTCTACCACTAGAGACAGTAGCTGCCCTTCTTCCAAACGTTCTCTTGTCTAGTCCACAACCATCAGTTCTAAACCTGCTCCTCATAAAGCACACTGGGGTGAGGAAACTGTTAACACAGCCTGGTATCATGGGAATTATGTATCCTGGGGGAATGTCATCATCCTACTCATTTATTCATGTCCCACTAACTCTGGAAACTGGTCACCATCTCACTAGTCCCATAGCTTTCACCAAAAAAATCTAACACATTCAAAGAATTAATGGGAAAAAATATGCTTACCATAACAATCTGCCATAATTTCCTATTGTAACATTATAAGTATCTTGGTCTTCTGCAGTCCGTAACAACAAAATTGCCCTTAAAAAAAAACGACAAGGTATTTTAAATTATCTATATGCAATAGCATTCTTTTACACTTCCTCCTTAAGTGAATCTACAGATTTTCGTTTTCTTCATTTAATTCTATTAATTCTTTAATGCTAGTTATAACAGCTTATTCATATTTTATTAAATTGGTACCACAAAAGCACTTAATATTTAGATTTTAGATTGTCAGGAAAATAACTTTAATAAAGTAACCTTAATAATTGAAATTGTTTATAACACTTAAGTTTTAAATATTTCAAAAATTTCAATCTAAATATGTGCAACAACTGTGTTGATGTTTTAAGTTTTTACATAATTTAAGTATACAGAAAAAACCCTTAAAAATATTTATATACTGGGGCCGGCCTGGTGGCACAGCGGTCAAGCGCTCGTGCTCTGCTTCAGTGGCCCAGGGTTTGCAGGTTCGGATCCTGGGCAAGCACCAATGCACAGCTTGTCAAGCCATGCTGTGGTGGTGTCCCATATAAAGTAGAGGAAGATGGGCACGGATGTTAGCCCAGGGCCAATGTTCCTCAGCAAAAAAGAGGAGGATTGGCATCGGATGTTAGCTCAGGGCTGATCTTCCTCACAAAAAAAAATATATATATATATTTATATACTAGTAGTTTGAATTAGGAAGCCAGGAAATTGAGTGCTTTCATGTGCCTTTCCCTGTTACATACAGAAAAATATTTAGCATTACTGAGTTCAGAGAAGGGAAAGAGTCATCAGGAGTCCCTAGAGGCTGAGAATAAACACATCAACATGCTGACACCCATATTCTTACCTTCTCATGCTCAGTCCCCTTTGGGCAAGCAGGGAAATGTCTTAACAACTAAAAGGAGTTGGATATTTAGTAAGATTTTGTTTTCTATTTTCTTTTCTGTGTAAAGAGGATTAGCCAGGAAGAAATATCCAAGAAAAGCTTTTAATCCCTCTGATGTTACACAAAAAACAAACATTTTGTCAGAGAAGTCTAAAAGACAGTATTATATTAAAAACTATACCTCTGGTCAGATTTATACCTAATTTGTAGTTTTAAGCCTCAAATACTTGTTTAAGGCAGAAAACACCAGCAGTGATCAGTCAAGGAGTGGCACATGCATATCCAAGTGACTGCGGAGTTGCCATTTAAGCCGAAGGTATAACAAGTGTTAGATTCACAATATCTGCAATTGTAACATGTACCAAAAAAAGTAGCAAGCACCCTAAAGCTGCTTAGTTTTCTCTGTTTAAAAATCCTGCTCACTGTTGTCTTCTGTCCTATTTATACAGTTTGTTTACTGGTAAGTTTATTGTGACACTGAAAGAAACAGAATTGTGGTTTTTCAAAAATCTCTCTCCACATACATCTGGAAAAATAATTTTTTCATTATACAGTCTCCAGTACCATCTAGTGATTACTCCTTTGAACTACAGAGAGATCCACAAAAGGATGGCAAAGCATTTGAGACACCTCAATTATTTTTTATCTGACAAGGCTTCTTCTAAATATCTATTTATCAAGATTTAGGGCAATGATGTGCCTCAGAGGTTAGGCAATCAGGTCTTTTAACTTTTCATCTAGTACTCACAAGATCAATAGTTATTTTCTTATTCATGAATCAATTAATTTGCAGAGAATAAAACTTCAAGTTGATTTCATTCCCTACCCCTCTCCTTACTGGTCATTCCACTTGAGCACACTCTCCTCCTTGTTTCTTCAACATGCCAAGTCCACTCCTGTTTCAGAGCATTTGCTCTTGCTGTTTCGTCTGTCAGGAATGCTCCTGCCCGGATAACCAAACGGCTGGTGGCCTCACTTCACTCAGGCCAGGCCTCAACTGCCTCCTTAGTAAACCTACCCTCTTAAACCTATCTCAGATTCACTGCCTGCCTCTGCAGTCTCTGGCCCTTTACCCCACTCTGATTTTCTGTCTTAGCAATTATTACCATCACAGATGTTTAGTAGCTTATCACGTGTCTCCTCGTATCAGAACACGAGCTCCATGAGAACAGGGCCTGTGTCTGTTTAAATTCACTGCTAGGGGCCAGGCTGGTGGCGCAAGCGGTTAAGTGCGCGTGATCCGCTGCAGCAGCCCCGGGGTCGCCAGTTCGGATCCCGGGCGCACACCAACATACAGCTTGGCAAGCCATGCTGTGGTGGCGTCCTATATAAAGTGGAGGAAGATGGGCACGGATGTTAGCCCAGGGCCAGTCTTCTTCAGCAAAAAAAGAGGAGGATTGGCAAATGTTAGCACAGGGCTGATCTTCCTCACAAAAAAAAATAAAAATAAATAAATAAATAAATAAATAAATTCACTGCTAAATTGCCAGTGGCAAGGACACTGCTTGGCACACAGCAGGTCAACAAATATTTATTGAATGAATAAATATATAGAAGCTATTAAAGTGATTTAAACAAACATACAATGTTCTCATTTCGTCTCTGAATAAATACACGTATTTAATAAAGCAAAAGAAAGTCTAAAGGGACTTTAAGTCTAAAGGGACAGATTTTTCTAAATCAACATCTGAGAGGTCTTTTTGTTTGGTTTTTGTTTTTTCTTCTCTCTCTCTCAGGTTGAGCAATAGAAACCAAAATATAGCTGAAAATTTGGAACTGCATCTTTGCACCTTCAAAGATGTAATAATAGATAACGAAAGAGGAAAGGAATCAGAACATTTATTTAGTACCTTCTCCATGAGAATAAGACTAAATAAAAAAAGGCCAACTGACAAATAAGGACTGCGTTTCAATTAAATGTCGAGTTTACCTTTGGTATGCGTCTGCTGCTTCCTTTTTCAGTTGTAGATGTTCATTTAAGTAACCCAACATCGTGAAAGCTGGGGCATAATTCTGAATTCTTTCTGGAAATCCAAAAATATTTTTTTTTCACATTTGCATAACATTAGTTTTATTTTCAATTTTTTCAATATCTTAAACACCAGATTATTTCCTCAGATCACTGACATGAAGAATAGTAGTCTGATTTTATCTTGACTATAAAATCCCAGTAATCATCGTGTAACTCTTTTAAATTATTGAATAACACTTATAGTTATATATGGTTTCTACATGTGTTTTAAAGTTTAAACATTTTTATCCTCAAAGGTATAATAATTGGAAAATGTAGCTCACGTTAAAATTAGTCATTTGATTTACAAGAAAATTCAGTTCTTCAGCCTATCACTTAAACCTTCCTGTGATTAAATTTAGCAACAATTTCTCTTGGTGGTTCTGTTCCAGTTTCTATGTTTTTCTCTTTAAATAAATTAACTCAGTATTGAATGCTAGAAACAGAGGATGATTTGGGCATTTTCAATGCAGTATTTTGAAATTTTAATGTCAAAAAACATCACGTATCTACTAATATTCAAAAGAGAAAGAAAACACATCTGATCTACTTAAAAGTTGTATTGGGAAGCAAGCCTTCAAATCTCTTAAATTATTAAACAAAGTTCAGTATAATCACATCTTACGTGCTGGTTTGGTTCTAACGTCAAAGCATAAGGTGAAAATCACAGTCAAGTTATTCTTGAAAAATCCTAAAGTTACCACACAACGAGAGGATCACCAAAACCGAGTCAAGAGGAGCTCCATGTCTTCCATCCACACTCACCCCGAGGTAAACAGTCAGCAGGACAGATGAAAAGATTGTCTGCATTCTCTCTTGTCCCCCACGCCTCTCTCTTTTTTGTTTTTTTTTTTTTTTGCCACATAGTTGATTTTCTTAAATGAGTATATGATATTGTTCCGCTACAGAGTTAAAAAACCTAACTGTGCATAACTGTCAGAGAATGATTTGTTCATTGTTCAAGGTATCTGAATTTTGCAGAAAGCTAAAAGATTTACCTCTTTATGTAAATCCTTTACAAATGTTACCCATTCTGCAAGGAAACTTATCAATAAAATTTCTGACCATATACGTTCTCAGAGGCTCTAGGTCTTCATTGGAGTCATTCATTTTGGCATACCGCATAACATGCTAATACCCTGAAGTGCTGATGTCTGTAAACCAACTGCCTTCACTCAAGTGCCCCAGGCTCAATGCAGGAAGAGCATCACAATCCTCTCAGTATCTATGATGAGGCATTTTCTCTTCTGCTTTTCATATTCTTCAACTTTCAATATTGCTGCTTAAATTCCTTGCTTCTTTATTAGAATTCCGTCAAGGGATAAATAAAATGCTAGTGAAACTAACATTTCTTGAGCATCTAGGGTATGCCAGGTACTCTGCATAACATTTTGTATAAATCATCTCATTCAAACCCTAAGCGATAGATACTCTCATTATTGTATTATAGATTGGAAAAATAATTTGGTGATATACCCAAGGTTTCATCATGGCTACTAAGTGCTGGAGCAGAGATCAAAACCCAATGGTAGTTTTATTAAGGTAGAAAGAAAATTATCACAATAGATGGTTAATAAAACTTCACCATTCTGTCCTTTTCCTAAGCTTCAACATATTTTAAGTATCTTGAAGAAAAATCAGGTGTTAAAGTGAGAGGTTGGAGGCACTGGGTTTGGAACTTAAAGCAAATTACCTCACTTAATTCTCACATCTCTACAACCTAGGTATTACTATCTCTTCTTTCCAAGGTTAACAGAAGTTAAGGAAAGTAAAATACTTGGCCTAAGACCACAGAGAAAGTAAACAGCAGAGCTAGAATGGCAGCAACTCACGCCCATTAGGCTCCAAAATGCTTTCCACTACAATATGGAAATCACTTTTATCTTGAATCATTAGATAACAACAATTTTCATCACTCTTCCAAAGCTCTTAATAAAGTTTAAAAAGTAGACTACTCGGCCCTTAAAGGAAAAAAAGTCAAATTCATGTCTTAAGGAACATTAATATTTAATATGGAATTAATTCATTTTAAAAACTTTAAATTATTTCAACAGTTATTCAAATATCTTGCCATTATATAACAGGTGCCTTACCTATGTATTTACTCAAAACAACTTGTGCTGCTGGAATAGCATTCATCTGGAGGATGTTGTACCGGTACAGCTCTGTTTCTCTGTTGCTTTTATCTTGCAATGTTGTACAGACCCAATATGCATAACCTATTGCTCCCTCAGTCTTTAAAAAAGCCAAAGTTAACAAGAGGACATAGGGTAATAAGCCAATAAAAATTAAGAAATGAAACAATGCACTTCAATACACTAAATATCATATCTTAGTCTTCTTTAAGTCAACTGCTAAGTGCCTTTAAATAAAGGGTCACCATGATACAACACAGCTAAGAACATATTTAAATCACTTGCTTCAGCCCTAAGTAGAAGAATCAAATGGGATAAATAAAGCACAGAAACAGAGCCCCATGTGATGGATTGGTTTGCTTCTTCTGAACACCATTCCCTTAGGTCAAACTAATAATTAGTAATTAAAAGAATTATTCTAAAACATTTCCATTAAATAATCTAGAAATGTCAACCTAGTCTAGTCCTTATCTCATGTTTATTTTTTTCTAGAGTCTCAGTTTCTATTCTACATGACTACTGCATCTATTAAATCCCATGTCATTTCTTCTCAGCTCTTGAAAGATGACAGGAAGATGAAAATGAGAAGTTTTTAATTAAAGACAGCTTATCTCTTTATAAGAAAAAAAAAAGAGTAGAGATAACTGCAGTCATTAATGTCTGATACCACCATGTATTCATTTTTCTCAACAAAGATAATACTTCATTCATTAATGAATCCTCAAGAATGCTCAAATTCTTACGTGCATATTGAGTTCTGTAGTGTGCCTGAAGAGATCCATAGTGTCATAACTTCCAATTGTTTCTGCAATAAGAGCCTATAAAAGGAAAAAAGAGGTTCTTAATGTATTTAAAAGGAATAATAATAATAATAAACGAAACGGGAAGAACCAGAGGTTTACTAGCTGTGCTTAAAAGCAAAGTTAATTTCTTTTTCTATCTTGGTTACTATATTCCCATGGCTCAGAGGACCTGAACGACCTATTAAATTGACCCTTAAGCTGACAGATGCTTTCAGAATTCCATCTGCAACCAGGCAGTGGTGGAATAATCCACATAAAATTCCTCAGAACGCTGATGAAACTGTGCTACCCTCTCCTTTCCCTCTCATCCTTATCTATTTATATTCATCGGGAGTAGGGTTCTTAGTCACAGGATCACCTCAGTTTCACCTGGTAGCTTTTTTAAAAGGAGGTCTTCACCCCTAGATATCTAGTTTCCATAGATTTGGGTAGAGTCTCACCATGTTTATTTTTTAAACTGCCTCAAGATTGTATCTATGCTTTTGACTTTACAGACTATATGACAAGTTAAAATTACTTTCAAGCTCATCTATCTTTTATAAGAAATCAGGTTTTTTAGTTATCACATATTACTAATATTATTAAGAAATTAACATTGTCTCACTTCTATGGTTACCATTTTAATTAAATCTACCAGTTACCTTCTGAAATAAAATATTTTTAAGAACAAAAATAATTCAAAAAAAAAAATACTTAGGTAATCCAGATAAGCATCTAAGATCTTCTGACCTAGAGCAGTGCTACTCCAAGTGAAGTCCCTGGACCAGCACCATCATCAACACTTCAGAGCAATTAGAAATGCACATTGTTGGGTCGCCTGGGTCCAATAACTTACATAGAGATCACTGTAGTAATGCCATTGCTTCCAGATACTACCACAGTTAATGGGAACAGGAGTTTGTCTTTCTAACTCCGCTTGCTTCATCAATTAACTAGAATGAGACCCAAGTGTCAAAAGTACAATGAAGGATATCTAAACTCTGAATAACAATTCTCTGATATGGGTGATGCTCCTACTATTCTCTGAACCAAAACAATCAACCACTTGCTAATTCATTACAATTTCTCAATTAGACAAGATCTTGGCGGCCACTCAGTCCAATCTCCTTCCTCTTCAGGTGAGAAATGAAATCCAGCAGTGATATGTTAAGGTAAAACAATCAGTCAGTGACAGACTCAGACCGGTAACCAAGTATGCTGATTCCTATTTGGCAGTATCAAAATCTACACTTAGGGGAGATGAGGGGTGGAGAGCACTCATAAACAAGGACTAAATCAAACATGAAAATTTAACAGAAAATGAGAAAACCTAATCAAAATGATCATTGTAAAATGGTTTGTTTTTTTTTTTTTTTGGCTTTGGTAAATATGTGTTAAACAACAGAGTTCTGAGTTTATTTTTTAAGCATAATAATGTCAGACTGATGGGGTTCAAAGCCCCCTAAACCCAAGCTTAATCATTACAAGCTGTATGACCTTGGGCACCATACTTAGGCTCTCTGAGTTTCAATTTCCACATCCATAAATGAGTTTAACAACCACCACCACCTCAAAGGACTGATAAAAGATTAACTGAAATAATGTCTACAAAGAGCCTAGCACAGTGACTGCCACAAAGTAAGCACTCAAATGTTACCTGTTATCACTATTACCATTGTTATTTATATTAATAGGTTATTTATACCACTTTATATTAATAGGTTATTTATATCATAGGATTATTAGTAACTATGTTATATATCTTACTTGTCCAATCCAGCACATTAAATAAGATGGATCAAGGGATTGAGCCATTTTGAAAGCTTCATGAGCTTGCTAGGAAAAAAAGGCAAGAAAACACATCGAGTCATCTTATAAGCTTAATATTACATTGCTTATGTTTAAAAAGCATAAAATAAAGAAAATAAGAAAAGTCAGACTTGTGAACATAAGATGTAACAGTGAACCTAAAACTTCACTGTTTAAGCACAATTACAATGTTTAAAATGCTGTTTTAACTGCATAGTCCTAGAACACTCCCGTACAACAGGTTTCTCTATAGGGGTTCTGGTCGCCAGCAAAATGGCAATATAGGTATCTATCTCATAGTCTACAGAACTTTTAACCAAGCATCCACCCATTTCCTAGCCAGAGGTTTGATGGAAGTAATCAGATAAGGCTGTATCTATTTTCCTCTCTTTGGGCTTAACAGGGAGGGTAAGAACTAACAATTAATGAGGTCTGAGATGCATACCTGCTCCTGGGCAAAAAAGAGTGGTCAACATACATCTGTGCTAAGCAGTCAGGAAACTTCAAAGATACCTCACTTGGACACATTAAGTTGCACGCTTTTTTTTCTGCTACAAAGAACAGCTATTATTATATGCTGCTTTATATTGTTTTATCAATAATCTATGTGTGGCAGGAAACAGTCTTATTTTTCCTATAAAAAAGTAAGCTCATGGGCAACAACACTGCCATGCTATCATAAAACTGCATGCATAGCTTACTGACTATGACCTTGCTTTGTTTAAATTTTTAAAAAGTATTTTAAAGATTTTAAGATCCAAATTAATATTTTTCTTCATTCTATTTACAAACTTATAAAGCAATCTTTGCAGTGACTTAATGTATCTCTGAGAATATTACTGAAGCTATTTTAAAAGGATTATATTCAACATACCAGCTGAAACACAAAACAATACAGATAAGCTATTATCTGTAGATCTGCAAAAACTTCTAAACATGACCTAAAACCCACTCCCAGGTACTGGAGTTCCAAATCTCTAATGCAAAACTGTTCAAGTATGACAAATCACATTGTGGCATTTAAAGGGATTAATATCCGCTAAAGCCCAATCTAAAATCATCAGGTCAAGGTTAAGTTTAAGCTGCTACACAGTACTAATCATCTCCCTACTTCATCACCTCACCCCAACACAGCCCACATGGGACTCCTCTTACACGTGAGCAGATAAAAAGCAAAACACCCAAATAATGCATAATAGAATTATTTTAATCACTAAATGAAAAACCAACATAATTATAAAACCAGAAATTTCTTGAGTGGCATGGAAAGGAAAATAAATCTTACACATTTATTATTCAATATAATAAAATTAATGTCATCAATTATCTAGCATATTAGAGAGCATACTGGATAGAGAACAATGTGCGAAGTATTTCTCCACAAGAAGTTCAGCTATTATGAAGAGATCATATATAGAAAATGTTCTTTACTTTTACTATGACAAACAGACAACACATTTACCTCAATGTTTTCATTTGCAAGGTATAACACTCCCAAGTTGGTCCATGCAACAGCATTCTAAAAAACATATACATATAAAAAATTAGGTCCCTTGTCTAAATGGCGGTCTCATAAAATTATTAACACTAAATTTTGAAGTTCTTTTTCATAGGTAGACACATAGAACACTCACAATTTGTTCTGATTGGATTGATTTGATGAAACAGTGCTGAGCAAGGGCATAATTTCCAATACCTGAAAAATACAGAATTTGATGAAACTGAACTCTATCACTCGAAACAATCTTCTAAAAATATTGAAGTGTTACTCAGTTCTTACCACTATAACATGAAACCACACCAAGAGCATTCCAATATAAGTGATTATTACTGTCCAGTCTCACTGCCTTTTTCAGACACTGAAAAGTAAAATTAGATTTTTATTTCTTGGAATATCATTATTTCTATCAAGACAAACGTGGTTTTATGTTTAAACATTATAGTATTTACTTTATCAAAAACATCTTTCAGAAAAGCACTTAGTTTTTTTAAAAAGTTTATAAAAAATTTCTCAAAACCATACATGTAAAGATTTCTCCAACAATTCTTTAAGATCACTTGTGTTGCTGCCTGTTTCTGCTAGATGTTGTGCTTGGCGATAATAATTAATTCCAAGATCACACCATGTATTAGACGTAGACATCAGTTTTAATGCACGACCATAACACCTATGGAAATATAAAAGTGAATGTTATTTTTTTTATAACGTCTTAATTCAATTTGAATGTCATTAACTGGCAATCTTTGTAAATTACCTTCCTCCAAGATGGAGGAGCTCATTTTTCTTTAATACTTGTTTTCCTTCTTTCTGACCTAGAAGGACTCCTAAAACATTAACATTCACTTTAGATGGGGAGACAGCATACAGACTGGTACAAGCATCCCCAACTAGCTTCCAAAGGCAAGACACATCAGCTCGATGCTGTAGAGCCCTAAAAAAGAAACAGTGTGATTCTTATAAATTATTTCCAGAAAGTATGGAGTTTATCTCCCTCATTACCACTTACAATTCAAACAGAAAAATTGTACATACAATCTTGATTAAGAGCTACTTCCTTAATTAAGTGTAGTGAATGCTTCACTAAATTCCTTCTAACTGAATTACATCTTATCACTGCCCTATTAGGAAGAAGAAATGAAAGGAGGGAAGGAGAGGAAATTGATTGTTTTAAGTACCAGAAATTTTACAAACATTTCTTTTGTACTCTTCGTTATTTTTGTTAGAAGTAGCAGAAATCACATAAATAAATCGATAAATTTTCCAGGACCAATTTATCATTACTACTGAATTTTTTAAACTATGCTCTTTGTGTTTGTCTGTTTAAACAATAACCAAAGCAGTAAAGTTGGTAACTCTCTCACAGTTGATTATCATAAACTCAGGTTGTTGCTTACAGATCTTTCCTCAAATAAAAAAAGACTAGTAAATGTATAACATATCAAATATATCTGGTGATCCAAAGGATTTTTACTAAGATCAAGAATAACAAAAGTCTAAACATGAAAAAGTGAAAACCCATATTTATTGAAGCAAGACTGAATGAACAAGCTCAAAAACTAAAGATAAATATTAATTATGGTGGAAAAGGGTATTTCTTTCCAGAAGGAGAAAATCTCAGCTATACATTTCTCTCCATTTTTGTCTTCTCAAGATCTTATAAATAAAACACAGCAATTTCTCTTAAGCCAAGTCTCAATAACCAGCTATCATAAAGAGCTCTGTTATATCGGCAGATGGACAAGCAGAAGGAACATTTTTCATAGCCTTTTCTACTCATGGAGCCCAGCCAAAAATCATTTTCCAATGTCTTCCTGAGAAATGAGATTGATTATTGGAGTCATCACCGAAAGCTCACTATGAGAATCAGGAGGAAGGCCAACACTATTTGTAGTTCCTTTGCCTAAATATCTTAGCAAAATTTCTAAAATTTACAGCATAAAAAAGAAAACAGACAAAAACAGAAGAGAAATAGAGGCAATTTTAACAACCTAAACTCTTACTTCCTTTTAAGTTCAATAAAAAATAAAATATCTGTAAAGTGAAATAACTCCTATCACCCTTATATGAGAATTATGGTAGTGTGAACTTTCAAGTTTAGAAGTAAATATAAATTTGGGAATTATCACTTAAAAAGTTTTACATACTTCCTTATAATTGGTTATGAGTGCTACAACCCTATCCAGAACAAAATTTCCCAAGCTCAGAGAGGCAGTATTTGTAGCTCAAGTATCATCACTCAAAGGTTCACATTAACTCTTAAATACTAGTTCAAACAAAATAAGCCCTCTTCACAATACCTTCCTCTTTGGAAAGAACTATATTATGTGAGACTAGAAAAGTAGCGATAAAAATCAGTGGGAGAAAAAAGGCTAAGGTTTTCGTTTCAGATTTGGTTCATATTTGAAGCAAAGCAATTCTGGAGCAAACAAGTCAACAGGAAACAGAGAAGGCAAGTAGGAAAAGAAAGTAAGCAAAGCACAAGAAAGATGTTTAACAGCAAAAAAATTCAAATGTTATGTCTAACTTGTGGACTTTTTAAAGTCATCTACCACAAAGAACACTTTTACCCTTTTACCTAACTAATGAACTTACACTTCTATAACATACCAGATTTACTCAAATTTTTCTGATTCTTTTCTTGTTATGAGCTATCACTTTTTTCCTACACAGATTCTCTCCAGGAGCAATCAGATTGCTCATTTCCCCTTATCTTCAGCCCTACCAACAAGACTACAATAGGCCCTTACCACTCAATGTCAAGCATATTGTGCACAGGAAGCCGTTTCCCAATCAGTTCCAACTAGATACTCGCTTGCTCAGGATCCTGAAAGAGAACACTAACACGTAGCATCTGAGCTGCTGCTCCACTAGCAGAGTGCTTCTTCCTTCCCACCTTTCCCTACGCATCCAGCACATCAGCTGCAGCTAAGAGCAAGAAATTGTATCTGTCCCCCAGCGCAAAATTAATACACTATGTATGTTACAGATTAATTGGCTAGTCCATTATTCTTTATGTTTGATATTTTGAATAATGATTGCTATATCTAACAGAATAAATATAGAATGATTTTCTAAATTTGGCTTTATTATAATACTAAGAAAATAAACACAACAAATAGTAAGAATAATACCAACCAAGTAAAATACTCCAGTGCTTTCTCTATGTAGTCTACAGCTTTCCCATCGAGATAATCGACTAGAGCTGCCTTTGCCATCATGAAATGGCATTCGCCCAAACCTAAAATCAGGGGTAAGTTTGTAGTTGTTAAAACATGTAAAAGAAATACTTAGAATGAACTTCAAGTAAATTTATTGGTGTCATATTAAAGCCACTTTCCAGAAAACAAAACTTAATGGTATTTTATAAAAGTAATCTTAACCTTAATGTCTTGCACACATTTAGTAAGGAATTCAAATGGCAGGGTTCTGTTGGAGTAAACATGTACTAAAAGTGAGAAAAACTATCTATGGATCTAAGAATTTCCTTAACTTTGGGCAAGTTACTTACCTCTTAAAACTTCATCTTTGAAAATGGGAATATTACCTAAATGCTACTCTCTATCATATTACTATTTATTACTGTTGTGAAACAAGATTTGATCTTTTTATAATCAAAACTCTATAGCAAACCATACCATAAAAATTAAATGAAACAGCAATTTCCTAAAGTGCCTAGTAAACATTTAATAAATGTGAGTTCTCCTTCTCTTGAGGAAAGAATTTTAACAAATTTTTTTTTAAAAAAGGTTTTCAAGCCCCAAATTACATATCACTTAAAACATACACTATTTCTGATTTAAACCTAAGTTGTTTCTTTAAAAAGGAAAAGGAAATGGAGGAAAGCATATATAACGGACTCCAGGGTTTTTTTAAATCATTAGATATAATCACAAAAAATTAGATCATATAAAATCATAGATTTTATAGATCATATATAAATATAGATCATATGTAAATTATAAAGCATAGATCATATATAAATCATAAAAAATTTAGATATAGATGGTGATGTCTTACTTTATATTACCAAAAATAATTTGTTAGAAGGAATAGGTATCTACAGAGGAACTGAAATTAATTTAGATAATTACAAAACAATGCAAGTTGCTCCTAAAGTTCAAAAATTGAAAAAATGAGCTTCTACAATTTATAAAGTCATTAAAAAGTATTAAGATATTCTGAGGATATAGTGAATTAATTGTCAAAATATAAGAGCAGGGAAACTCTTGTTTTGGAGATACATTTTTAGATCAAATAGGTATCATGCTATTCATCTAAAAGTGAAGTCTCTATTATATTACTATTAACTATTATGAAATAAGATTTGATCTTTCTATATTCAAATCTATATAATAAGCTATACTATATGAGGCTCATGCTGGATGCTTGCTGTTGACTAAATTAGTCCTTTTCAAGTTACTCAATACATGTAGGAAATTGACTCAAGGATTTTATACTTCACTATCACAAAAGTCAAAGGAGCTATTAAAAAAGAAATTACCGGGCCAGTCCCGTGGCTTAGCGGTTAAGTGCGCGCGCTCCGCTACTGGCGGCCCGGGTTCGATCCCGGGTGCGCACTGACACACTGCTTCTCTGGCCATGCTGAGGCCGCGTCCCACATACAGCAACTAGAAGGATGTGCAACTGACATACAACTATCTACTGGGGCTTTGGGGGAAAAAATAAATAAATAAAATTATAAAAAAAAAAAAAAGAAATTACCTTTCAAAGCAGGCACATAATCTTCTTTCTTTTGAATGATCAGCTGGTATTGAGCTACAGCCTCCTTATATTTGCCTAGGATTTGCTGTATTGCTGCAACCTTAAACACACTGTATGTGGATTCTGGGTTGAGCTCACTGGCTTTTGTGAAGGATTTCAAGGCTGTAGTATAGCCACCTCTGCTTAAGTAAGCCTCTCCTAATGACTCCCAACAGTTGAAGTCCTTTGGGTCTGCCCTTAAGGCTGCCTGTAAACTAAAATTTCAAGAAACAGTAAGAGAACTAAAAGTAACAGAACTACTTCCACAACTGAAAGGAAAATATAAAATAAATAATTTAACTGAATCACACATATCCATGATTCCTTCTATTTATAAAAGTGCTATTTAAAGCAGGTATACCTTTTCCTTTCATGACTTGAATTTTTTAATACTAAGAAATTTTATTACAATTTTGGAATGAATAAGAACAAAATACTTTTTTGAAGAAGTGCTGACCAAAATTTCTTTCCCTTGCCTATCTGGAAGAACTCCAGTTTCCTATCCTACCAGAACAGGTATATATCTCAGTATACCTCATCACAGTCTATAAACTCCCACCAGTCCTCCTACCAAAACAGAAATATCACAATTGAAAAATAGGAATAACAGGCATGCTTTAAATTTCTGATCAAATTCCATAACCTTGAAAACATTTTAAATGCCTGAATTCTAGATATTAACGTAAATCAGAAACAATTTTGATTCAAATATATTTTATTTACCATTATTTAGGTCAAACCAAATTACTAAAAATGAGCTGCTCCAAATGCCCTTCAAGCTGCCAAATGTTTCCCTAGCCCAAAAACAATGCATGTCAGTGGGAGAACAACAAAGATACTAACCCTGGCTTTTTATCATTCCTTAAACTTCTACTGAGAACCTACTACATCTATGAAACTATTATGACTTACCTTCACTAGACTGGCTATCTTCTAAACAAGAGGACATCATTTAATCCATCATCTAATTTTTGCAATTCCAGTGCCTTGATAATAAGAACCAATCAACCATAAATAAATTTTGCTGTTTCTTCTCTCAAAATACAACATGGTATGAGGCAACTTGTAAGTTCATTTCGCATATAAATGGAGTTTAATTTAGGAACCATCAGGCTGTCTAACAGAGTTTAAATATAATAAGAAGCCTTACTCTGCCACTGCTTGAGAATGTTGACCAGCTTTCAAATAGTATAGTCCTCGCCTAAGCCAGGCCCATTTTGCGGTTCCAGCACTTGCCTTTTGAGTGACTGTTGTTAGGATAGCTAAGGCAGTTTCCTAATAATAAGAAAAGACTAATATTAGAGACATCGAGTACCATAAAAATATAAAGCACCTATGTAAAGTACACAAATATATTTTCATTTACCACTTCTGATTTTTCAAACTTACACTGGTATACACTGAACTACAGTTTCAACAATAAGTGACGAGTAATTTAATATCAGGCAATGAAAAGAAAATTTACTTATAAACAGTGGCAAAAATATTTCTATTGCCTCAACAAAGAAACATAAAAAATAATAACTTTCAAGTATACATATGTAAAAATATTTCTATTTCTATACTCAGGATAAAAAGAAAAGACAAAAGTGCTGAAGTTATTAGAAATACCATCTCCTCAAGCTCCACGCTTAGGTCAACTGCTGCAGCTCCAGATTCAGCATCAGTGTCATCTAGGTCAAAAGCTTTCCTGTAACATCCACGGGCTCTGCTTTTATCTCCGACTACATCTCTGTAATAATGACCTAAATAGCAGAAAACTTTGGCCATGTATGTATCCAGTCTGGCAGCCTTTGAAATAAAAATAAATAACAGAAGAATATTAGTTTGTTTGGATGGGTCTCTTTAAAAACACAAAAGAGAAATACACAGATTAAAGGGAAAAAGGAACAATTTTATTAAATATACAAAAATATGCCAAAACATCCTTTAATGTAAGATTCAAAACAGACATGAAAGCTGGCCATCAGTGCTTACAGAAAACAAGTGTAAAAATATTATTTCTTTGTTAAAAGAAATGTGAGATTAGAGTTATTACATTAATCTGCTTTTATGAGTCAAGATAAGAATATAACACTTCTAAATGTTAAATATCTAAAACACAAGTTAAACATCTAGAAATACATAAGACTCATATGCCCATAAAACTACGGTGGAAATTACCTAAAAACAGTATTGTTTTCCAGAGATAATTATGTCTCATTTTTTATAACACATGTTCCTTAAAAAAGTAACTTTTACATTTTTTATGTTTAATTTTCTCCTTGAAAAACCATATAATATTCTCACAAACCTTATGTGTGAGAGAGGAAACACAAAAAACGGTTCAGTAAAGCATAATTTTAAGTACCTAATTTACATGATTATTATTTACGATTTTATAATGAATCTATTTCAACTAAGAATTGAATAGTAGTACACGTTTTACCTTTAGAAAGTGGGTAAGAGCCTTTGTTTTATCTTTTCTTGTTTCTTCACCCATGAACCAATATGTTAATCCAAGTTGGTAATGATACTCAGCAACTTCAGCATCTTTCTCAAGAGCTCTCTGAAAACTAAGTCACAAAATGAAGTAAAAAAGAATATTTATATAGATATATAATACAGGAAACTCCTAGTTGGAACAATCAAAGTTTGAGTGATTCAAGGATGCTAAATTAGAAACAAGTCATTACTTTAGGATTTAGATTAAAATGAGAAAAAAAAATGATTTGAAGAAGAGAAGCTTAAAAAAGCACACTGCCTGTTAGCACTACCGATGTGCTAAGCGTTCAGAGCACACACCAAACATTATCTATGCTTACTGAACACTATGAGCAGCTAATTAGATTCCAAACTCATCATGAAACTTTTTATAGTTACTGTGCTGCATGCTAAATACACTTCTTAAAAATACTAAGGCTACAAAGACCAAATTTACGCAAAACTGGATCTTTATCAAACCCATTCATTTTGAATTTTTGAGAAATATAATAAATTAAAATATGGCTGGATTTATGAGCAATCTAAATATGTCCTTACCATTTTTCTGCTTGTAGATAGTCCTTTTTGGTAAAATGAATCAAAGCCTCCACGGCATGAGCTTCAGCTAGGTCGGGGTAAGAAGAAAGAAGGTCTTCCAAAATCTATAAAGTAGATATCTGTGAATTCTATATCCAAATAAAAATAACTTTTAACTTCAGAAAAAAAATCTCAGTTTGAATGAAAACACCAACCTTTGAAGCTTCATCTAATGAGCCTTTGTTCAGATAGGCCAAGCTTTTGAGAACCAAAAGTCCTGGGATATTATTTGCATCAGAAACCTAGAAAATAATTGTAAAAAACTGCTATAATCTCCTTCAACACAATGCAGCGATGTTTGCTTTAATTAAAGAATGACCACAGAATAAAGACACAGAGATCCTGATTTCTATCACTATTAACATTTTCATTCTTTGTAAGCTTTTTATCAGAGAAAATCTCAAACACATAAAAAATAATAGCATAATAAACCACATGTACTCATTATCTAGCTTCAAAATTAACACAAAGCCAATCTTTTCTCATTTATCCCTCCACCCATTTCACCACACTCCTGCTTAGATTATCCCAGATATTATAACTTTTCATCTGATACTTCAGTATCTATATCCAAAAAAGGTTCATTTTTAAATAACATAATCATACTATTATAAACACCTAAACAAAACCAACAATATATCCTTAATATCATCAAATAACTAGCCAGTGTTCAAATTTTCCAGTTGTCTCATAAAATATTTGAATAACATTTTAATCAAAACCCAAATAAGGTACATACATTCCAAGTGGCTGATATGTCTCTTAAGTCTCTTTTAATCTATAGAATTCCCTTCCATCTCTTTCTTTCTCATTTACAATTTAACTGTTGAAAAATATGGGCCATTTGTCACATTTTCTCACAGTCTCGTTTTTGCGGAATGTATTCTCATGGTATTGACATGTTCCGTGGTCCCCTGTATCTTCTGTAAATTAGTAGCTAAGTCTAGAAGCTTGATCTGATTGAGGTTTGATGTTTTGGCAAGAATACCTCATGTGTACTTGCACTTGGTTACGTGTGGTTGTCTTTCTTTTTGTGATGTTAGCAGCCACTGATCTTCAATGCCTAGATCTATTAATTCATTACAGGCTGCAAAATGATGATTTTCTAATTCTATCATTCCTTCTTTCCTTATTCAATGAAATACTTTAACAAAGAGGAATTTCCCCTCCTCTCATTATCTATGTGATTATTCTGAGGAACAGTTCATAAAGGAAAGGCAGGATAAATACTTTGATTCTTTCCAACTGGTTCCTTAGTTATCTTCCAAAGATTTATTTTATTGAAGATGTGTTGTTGATTTTCCTTTTTTTGGTATCACCGTGAACACATCATTTAAACATATTTGATGTCCTTCAATCCATTGCAGTTATTGGTGCCCAAACTGTACCCACTTTAGCCAGTAAGAGTCCATTCATGCCAGTTCCTGAGCCATTCTGACACAATTCTAACAGTCTTTTACAGTTTCCTTGCTTTCTAGCATAAGATGTTCTTGGCTCATCTTGTACATTTTCTGTCTCAGACCTCGACTCTACCAGTTCTCCAAGGAACTTTTCATTTTGTTTTTTTGTAAAAAAATTATTGTAAAGACCTCTATAAAGCATTCACACAAAACACATTATTGGTGGAAGGGAAGTAGAAAATAAGAAAATAAGATATTAGTTCTCAAAAGATGCTGAAAACTGTTCCAATTTTAAAGAAATATTATGAAATGCAAAGCTCTTTGAAATATAGAAAACAATGATTTTTTTTACAAAAATTCAAAACCCTATGATATACTCAGTGAAATAATTTTAATTTTAGACAAAAAATAGGCTTTATCTGACAAGTCTTTAAAGGCACGATGTTGTTATAATTCACAATTTACTAGGTAAAGTTTTTGCAGGGAATTTCAAATTACTTGAACCAAAAACATTAAGACATCAGTTTTCTTCTTAAATATCAATCTTCCTCAGTTTTTTATTAAATTGAATAAAACAATCATTCTCTACCACAAAGCTACCAGTGTCCTTAATAACGCTTGTCAATAATCTACAAAATATTTTCTAGAGGAAAAAATTCAGAATCCCAAATTAACAATAATCAAGTAGTAATAAAGAGGGTAAAAAGAGAAAATAAGAGCAAGAACTAAAGAAAGAAATTACATCATATGAAAAGCACTGTAAGTACTTAACCAAGAGGCAAACAAATAACTTTATAAGTTTCCAAGTGTGTGAATGATTTACAAAAGTGCCAATGTAGTAAATTCATACCTCTAACAAAATTTTTTAAGTAAGTATTCATGGTAAGGAGAGAGTGGTTGATTGGAAACTAAATAAGTTGAAGGGAAAAATCTGATGATAAGACTACCTGATTGAGAGTACGAATTGCTTCCTCTGAAGATTCACAATCTGCGAGTTTAACCAAAGCCTCTGCTTTCAAACGAAGACAAAGATTCTTCCGATGAAGACTGCCACCAGACACACCAAGATTATCTATGGTCTTCAGAGCTGACAAAATTAAGGACATCTGAGTGAAGACAACCACATCAGTTCACTTTTTTTCTTTTTAAGGGTGACATATAATAAATTGGAGAGACAATAAGAATAAATTGCCAAAACAATATAGATGAGGAGTAATTCAAAGCTAAATATAAATTCTTCCCTGAACTCTTTATGGAAATATATGTATTTAAAACAGAACAGATCTAAATCTAAAACCTCTGTCTTCACATAACATATAAGAAAACTGAACATCCTGAAACACCACAATGGCAGAGACACTGTACCTACTACCTAACAGAGGTTAGCTCTTAGCCATAGCATTTGTAACAAATATAGCAGGTCATGGAAGGGGAAAGAAGCTGAATTAGAATGGACCAGGGCGAACTGTTTCTCAACTGCAGAGGCGAGGCCAGCAGCTGGGTCTAGAGCAGTGAATTATTTTTTATGATTTCCTATCCCCACACCTGACCTATTTGATCCATTCAAACAGACTCCAAGATGTCTTTCCATATCTTCATCAGAGGAATCAAGAACTAGTGAAGGTCCCAGGACACACCAGAAACTTCCCTGTTACAAAGACAGAGCACCACCACAAGCCTAAACTGACTATGTCAAAATTCCAAGTGGAAGAAACCTTTGATAAATACTCATTGTCACTTTAAAAATAAATACACTAGTAGACATGCATACAGACTTGGCATTTTTTTAACATCCTCAATGAATTTTAAATTGGTTGGCAACATAAAATACAAAATATAGCATCTGGGTTTTTAAAACCACTATCTTTCTCCTTCAAGATGAAAAGAAACAGGGTTGGCCACCCTTAAAGATGTCAGGAATACCTTGATTGCATGAAAGAACAGCATCCTTGGGTTTATGCATTTTGACTTGGGCTTCTGCCAGATGATACCATCCGGTTGTGCAGAGAGGGCTTTCCTTTAACCCTAAAAGGATAAAAGCAATGACAAAATCCAAGGTTTCCATGACTACTGAGATGAACGGCACCACTGTCTACTCCCCAAATCAAACTCCTCCCCTCTCCCTCATCTCTCACATCTAACTAGTCACAAAGTCACATTGATTTCATGCCCCCAATCCATTTCTCTGCCACCACCACTTCAGTTCAGACCTCCATCATATTTATCCCAGATAACTGCAAGCGCCTGCCATCCACTCCAATTCATTCTCTACACTGTAGCCAGAATATTTCTAAACAAATGGGATTATGAAATTCTCCTGCTTAAAACTTTCCACTGGTTCCACACTGCACTTAGGGTAACATGCAAACTCCTTAACAAGGTTGCAAGGCCCCTCTCCAGCCTCAATTCTTGCCCCTTCCTGCTCCCATACTTCATCCTCAAATCTTGCTGAACTACCAGCAATTCCCTAAATACCAGCTTTCCTTCCACTTCTCACATCTCTTGGCCTGAAATGCTCCTCCCACCTCCAGGCTTGTATTTGTCATTCAGATCTCAATTTGAATGAAAGTTCTTCCAAAACATGTATCTGACAAGACTAAGTTAAAGCCTCCTAAGGACAGAGATTTTATCGCTATTTTACAAATGAAAACACTGAGACTGGAGAGTTCAAATACCTTTCCCAAGGTCTTGAAATTAATGAGTGGCAGAGTTGGAATTCAAATGCACGCAGACTCCAGAGTATGCAAGCACATTTTTTTTGCTTCTATCTTAAATATACATTCCTTAAAGAAAGGCCCCAAGATAAACACTTACTGAATAACAACTGTATCTCACATTACATGCTACACCCTGTACACGTACCTTCTGTTAAGCTCCTAACAGCATCTTCATACTTTTTGTCTTGTAATGCTTTAATGCCTAAACCAATGAGGCCTGGACCACTTTTTGAATCCATTTCCACTAGTCTGCAACAATACTGATGTCCCTCATCAGTAAGACTTCCTGAAATCAAAACAAAAACTTATTAGCATATATATAAAAAATTTCTCAGTGCCAAAATCTATATACTTAAATCTCAAAAGCTGTCTTACACATCCCCCACCATATCCTGATTTCAGGAATTCAAAACTTAAATAGACCATCAAATGTATAAAATATTAACATTTCATAAAGAAAATTATGCTCCTTCACCTACCTTAATATTGGAAGTAGAAACCACTTTACCCACAGCAGTATGGGTAAACTGAACCTGAAGTCATACTCATTGGGTTTCAAACAAGAAACCTACTGCTACTTTCCACTAGCCTAAGACACAGAGCCTACTGCTTGCCAGGTCTCCCGTTCCCACTCAGCAGTAACAATCGTGGTTGTTAAATGAAGGAATCCCTCCCTGTCAAAGGACAGGATCTTCACCAATCTCTCTCCCTGGGCAACCATGTGCTGCTAGGGATATGGCAGCCAAGATGCCAGATCCAGTGGACTCTTCCAGTGTCCTAGGATCAAAAGACAGGCTACTCACCAGGACACTGGACAAGGACTTAGTCACATTCTCCTTAAGTTTACAAGTTCAGCAGTACATTTCTGTATTCTTTCAAAACTTTCTTTTCCTATATAAGTTAATAGTTAAGCTTATGTACTAATCATCCAATGCTTACATTTATTTTGGTAAAATAATTAGTTTAGAAAATAGGGGCCGGCCCGGTAGCACAAGCGATTAAGTGCGCGCGGCTCCACTGAGGCGGCCCAGGGTTCACCGGTTCAGATCCCGGGCGCACACCAACGCACCGCCTGTCAAGCCATGCTGTGGCGGCATCCCATATAAAGTGGAGGAAGATAGGCACAGATGTTAGCCCAGGACCAGTCTTCCTCAGCAAAAAAAAAGAGGAGGATTGGCAGATGTTAGCTCAGGGCTGATCTCCTCACAAAATAAATAAAGTCATTCTTTTTAAAAAAAAAAAAGAAAATATATGTTCTATTTCCATTTTCGCCAACTTCAATCAATCTCAGGATTTCCATTCCCAGTAAAGCATAAAAATCCGTGGAAAATGTGATTTCTGTTTTGAGAATAAACTGTGAACAGCATCCACAGTTTACTAAATTGTTTAATCACATAGGAAAATTCTTAAAAATGAATTAAGACTGACTACAACTTGAAGCAATAAATAAAGGGAACAAATGAAAATAATTTATCTGAAAAAGAGACCTTATGCTTTAATATATATATAAATATATAAAACATATAGCCCCAAACCACATGTGAAACCACTGTTTCAGTCACAGATATCAAAGGTCAATTCTTTGCATGATACTATTTAGCTTACACATTTGAAGTTTTTCAAAACCAGATACACACCAATGTATAATCCATAAGTAATATTTTATATATTGATTTAGAAGTCCAAGTTAGTACCAAAAATGGAAAGAATTTAAAAAGGCTAAAGAATCAAAACTTCAATACTATTTGATGAAATATGAAAATAAATTGGAAGAACTACTACTTTGATTAGTAAGCCAGTAAAAAAGACAAAAGCTTGCTACTATTATGCTTCTAGATATGAATTTTCTTCAGTCAATATGTTCTCACTATTGCTTCCATAATGTGAATTCCAAGAACAGACATGCCTGGTTTCTTTTTTTTTTTTTTAAACTATTTTTTCTTTTTTATTTATGTATTTTTTCCCCCAAAGCCCCAGTAGATAGTTGTATGTCATAGTTGCACATCCTTGTAGTTGCTGCATGTGGGACGCGGCCTCAGCGTGGCCAGAGAAGCGGTGCGTCGGTGCGCTCCCGGGATCCAAACCCGGCTGCCAGCAGCGGAGCACGCGCACTTAACTGCTAAGCCACAGGGCCAGCCCCCAGACACGCCTAGTTTCATACACCCTATTATTCCTCAAAAGCAAACCAATGTTGTTGGGATTTTTTTCCCTTTCTATCTAGTGGTATTGTCCAAACTAGACATCAGAATCACCTGAAGAACTTGTTAAAACACAGAATTCTGTGCCCCACTCTCAAAGTTTATGATTCAGTAGATCTGGTGTTAGACCTGAGAATTTGCATTTCTAACAAGTTCTCAGGCGATATTGATGCTACTGGTCCAGAGATCATACTTTTTTGTGTGTGTGTAAGGAAGATCAGCCCTGAGCTAACATCTGCCAATCCTCCTCTTTTTGCTGAGGAAGACTGGCCCTGGGCTAACATCCGTGTCCATCTTCCTCCACTTTATATGGGACGCTGCCACAATATGGCTTGACAAGCAGTGCATTGGTGTGCGCCCAGGATCCGAACCTGCAAACCCTGGGCCGCCGCAGCAGAGCATGTGCACTTAACTGCTTGCGCCACCTGGCCGGCCCCCCGAGATCATACTTTAAGAACCCCACAGGTCTACAGTATTTACCAATCCCATATACCACCTGTATTATTAGTCTTATATATACCTGCCTTTGTTGTCTCTGTAGCTAAACAGTAATTTTATGTTACTAAAATTTTATGTTACTATTATGTTAGTAAACACCATTATGAACTGATGTTCCAAAAGGCTTAGTCTGCTAATCTGCAACTGCTGAGAATTACTATGAAAACTTAAATACCTTCACCATTCTAAAAAAGAAAATAAAATAGCTATTAAAATTTTCCCTTCAATTTCTACCCATCTAAGTCAAGAAAATACACCTGGGATGAAAAGAAGAAAAGTCAATCATGCATCTTTCCAATGATCACCCATACTTAGGGCATCTAAAAACCGCACACAGGTAAGCAAAGTACGGTTTCCAAAGTATGGATAGGTACATGAAAATAGTTTCCAAAAGGCTAGGATGAACACAAAAAACTTTTAAAACAAGATAAACTTTCCTAACATAGTCCCCTTTGCTAACATCTGGGAGCACAATTATAGAAACAAAAAGATATTTGGGGAGACTCTGTTCATGTCTAGCCCTGGGTAACATATTCTCTATATACGACCAAGTTGTACTTAGAGAAATTCTCTGTCGTGTTCCCCAAAACCATCAACAGTAATAACACTACTGATCCTGTGTAAAGAGACAAGGAACAGTCCAGCTTCAACACTCAATTCTCTCCTTCTCCACACTAATTCTTGTTGAGAATAGTAGCTACACAAATGTGAAGGCTAAAAACAGAAAGGAAATAGACTTCATTGCTTTTGAATAGAAAATCATTTATTTAACTTATCTGCTCTTTTTAACATTTAAAAGATTCTAAGATTCCAGATTTCATGACTTCAAAAACAGTTTGACAATATTATTTTTATTTGTCAATAAGGTAAGCTAGAGTTGGGCTGATGAATGATAAATCTCCAAGGATAAAGGGTGTTCTGAAAAGGTTCGGGGTAGATGCTAAGTAATACCTATGAGAATTCTGTTTCCTAAAGCTTACCACAAAAAAAGGTGAGGTTTTTTGATAACTAATTCATTCCTGACATCCCAAAGAAACTGATCAATACTACAGAATTTTTCTTTTAAATAAACCTAGTTTGGGGGGGAGAAACAGCACGTACTCATTTCTTTATTTTCACCTGGATTTCCTAATATTTCTAGAGCACAAAGTACTAAGCTCTTTTCTGTTTGGATGTGAAGAACCAAGCTTATTATCCTCCCCCATTTCAGAAATAAAGCAAAATAAAATAAATCAAAAAGGTCATTTAGCATGAAATAACATTTCATCAGATGACTGTAAAAGCTATTCACCACTTGTTATGTGAAGCTTTATAAACTGAGTCATTTTGAAAATGAATCAAGTCTCAACATGCAAAGGAGGACAAAGGAGAATGAAATATACTGGTCCCCAGTAGAAGAGAACCCAGTGATTAACTGCTGTGAAGTAGCAAATTCTGCAGATACCAAAGTACTCTGGGGGAGGATAAGTCAGCCTTTAGAGACCTTACAGATTTTCAGAAGTTCATAACACAGATAGTTTGGTTTAGAGGAGCAATGAAAAGGAAAAATAAATCATTAAACACAGCTTCCTACTGCCCCTCATTAACTATTAACCTTGCACCCCAGAATAAGGCTTTCTCTTACAATGTACCAAAGCCTGAACTGCTCCATTCCACAAATTCTTACAACCAACGATTCAGCAGAGAAAAACGTCTTCCTTGGTGTACCTTATGTGTAAATACCCACCTACCCACTCCCCTTTGCCAGGACACAGATCTCTTTCTTTCAATTCTGCAAAATACCCATCCCTAACTCTTCAAGAATGATTTTTTTCACGTAAACCAAAACATTCTCTAATCAATCAGCATAATCCCTTTGCTATCTCTTTATTAGAGCACTTTGTCAAGTACTGAATTTATATGCAAAACTCTGTAGACTATTTGTTGATCCTATTTCTTCTATAATTTTGTAGGCTTTCTGGAATATAAGGGCCATGCTTACCCAACGAATTCACATTATAGGCATATATGTGCCTACTGAGAAAGCATTCAATCAGTCCTTAAGAAATTTCAAAGTATCCCCTTGTGCCAATTGGCATGTGAGCAGGTCAAGAATTAGGGAATGGTACAAACCATTAATAGCTAAACAGGAATAGAGAAAAGAGTGAATACCATTTCTCAATAGCAATCGTAACAGCAGAAAAAGGGGTGGAGGGATGCGTACCAGAGGCCACAAAGAAAATCAGCCCACTTATCTTGGGAACACATTGGGTCTTGTGCTAAAATTTGAAGAAACTGGGTGATTTTGGAACTATGCCTCCTATCAATGAAAAAAAAAAAACACCACACACAAAAATTCATAAGCATGCTCCTTGTACTGCAAGTCTCTTAGCATGCCTCATCCTCCTTGACCTCAATGCAGCATTCATAATGTTAACTAGCCCTTTCTTGAAACTCTCCAGCCAGGAGACACTACTGCAATTCTTCTCCCACTCCTCCAAAAGCTTATTATCCCCTTTGCATGCTTCCTCCTTACCTCCCTTAAATGTCAGTCAAGTCCCTGGATTGCTTCTTTTTATACCTGATAACCACTTCTTCCTACTCTTTTCCCACAGTTGTAATCTAAGTTCCACTTCAATCACTTTGATTAAAAAAGAAGGCCCTAATAAACATCTCCTAAACATAAAATTAGTTACTCAATCTGCCAAGACAGATCTCCTTTCTGAAATGTTCTTTCCTTGCCTCTGTGTTGCTTCACATCAGGTTTCCCCATCTTCCTCTCTGACCTTCCTGCTTCTCTGTTCTGTTTCCCTCTTCCCCTCTTCCTCCCTTCCCCTTCAAGCCTGCCAGTGCCACTCAAGGTACAATTTTCACCTTTTTTGCCCTTTAGTCAACCTCTGAAGTCATCTACTCCACTTCACTTTCCCTCAAATGCAAATGACTTCCAAACTATAGTCTAGCCTTAATAGTGATCTCTCATCTGCAAACCACTGATGGGCATTTCCCCTTTGAATGCCTATTACATTTTTTTTTTTAATTTTTTGTTTATTGCAGTAACATTGGTTTATAACATTGTAAACATTTCAGGTGTACATCATTGTACTTCTATTTCTGCATAGATTACATCATGTTCACCACCAAAATACTAATTACAACCCATCACCACACACATGTACCGAATTATCCCTTTCATCCTCCTCCCTCCCCCCTTCCCCTCTGGTAACCACCAATCCAATCTCTGTCCCTATGTGTTTGTTTATTGTTGCCTATTAACATTTCCTCTCAACAACTTACCTTTCATACAAACCATCATTCCACATTAGGCCAACTTTTCAGGAGAGCTGAAAGCTAAGATTGATTCTTCCATCACTTTACCTCTAAGAAATCCCTTCTATTTTTTTCATTCGCCTGTTACTTTCTATCGCCACTACCGCGTTCCCAGTTCATTCATTCCTAGTATCACTTATTCTACCCAGTCTCGTCTATCTTCTATACAATCTATCCTGAACACCATGTTAGTTTAAGACATTTTACTTCATAAATTGACTCGCTATGACACTTTTAATGTTTTCTTTTCTCACGTTAGGGAAAAGGGCTCTTGCAAGTCTATCTTTGACTCAGTTAAAGTAAGGAAAAGGGGATCCGCTTACTTCTCGCCAAAAAAAATCCCAAACTGAAGGTAACAATTCTGGATTTTAATTCAGACACCAGGGGAAAAAAAAGTATAAGTAGGACATAAGGGAAAGTTAAAGTGGGGAGAGCCAAGATAGGTGCAATGATACTATTCTAACTGGAACTTTCCCTCAGTTATCTCTAGCAGTAGTTTTCAATCATTTTTCTATTATGAAACACATGATGGTCATTCATATACAAAGCATTTCTATGTGTATACTCATTTAGCAACAAAAGGAAAAAAATTAAATAGATTAGTAAAGCTCTGCAATAATTTACAATCACTACACCACATTGGTGCTGGTACTGTTATTTCTATTTCAGTGACTGACTTCTGTGAAGTTTGTTCACATCAGGTGAATACAGGCATGGACAGAAGTGATATTCAAATTATTTAAGCAACAATCTCTTCAGCACAGACACTGACAAAAAAAGTCAGAGGCTGTTGTGAAAACCAATATGGTCAACCTCCTGTAAACTGACTGAATACCAGCCATGGGCACAAGACATCCACAAGTTTTGGCAACTCCCAGCAAACTAGCTGTCATCACCTCCTCTCTTCTCCAAAAGAAAGCACACAAAGAAGCAAGAGCATGACACACACTCGCTGACTTGACTCTGCTGTATTTCATTAAAAGAGTAGATCATCCACATACTCCATTACTTTATAATATTAGTATTTGTAACAATGCACATGTAACACTATGATATCCACACTGGGAATGCTAATCTTTTACAAAATCCTTTGCATGATATTTATAGCACTATGTAATACAGTCCAATCTACTTAAAGAAAATATATTTTAGTTATTCCTTCCACTATAGCAAATAAAACTATTTTACTATTTCCAAAAATTCCACTTGGCTCCACACCTTTGCTCATGCCATCTGGCATACCTTTCACCTCCTCTTGTATATCTAATTTCTATGGAAAATTCAAGACCTTCAATTCCCATCTTCAAAAAGACCTCACTGATCAACAACGAACTCAGTAATTCATAATTCCTCTGTATCACTATACTTTCCTATATTTACTAGCCTTTTCATGTGCACAAAGATTACGTAGTGTACATCCTTTTATGTCCAGAAATATTGAAACAACACCTGACACATGGCAGGCACTAAAACAATTTCTGATTGACAGAAACATCACTCCCACACACTCACACACCTCTAGGATACACAACATAATAAAGAAGAAATTACCTGATTCAATTAAATGCAAACAAAGCACTTCTAATGGATATTGTACAGTGGGATAGGTGTTTATCATTCCTTCACAGGCCTTCTTCAACCTAGCAGTCTCATGAGGAAACTTGAAAATACAAAAGTAAAATAAACTAAGTAGTAGTAAAACATACTTGGGAACACTTTCCTAATTAGAATATAAAAGTCACAGTAGAGGTTTTAAAAATCAACTTACTTTGGATAAACACTGAATGAAATGTCTATAAAGTACTTGGTGATCTTCACTAGGAATCTTATCTGACAAGCTCAGTGCATTCTCAAAAGCAGTTAAAAGCTGAAACAAACAAACAAAAAAGTGATCATTTGTAGCATACTTAAATGACAAATGTAATAAACAGCTGAACCTATAAGACTCACTTATGCAAACCACACCCTCAACTAAATGCAAATGTATTTTATTGTCTGGCCCTGACGATTTCAATGAAGAAAAAAATGTAGATGTAACTTTTAGAATATTTTCTAACTCAACCAGCCAGCAGACTGCAAGGAACTAATAAGGGATAACTATAAATTAGCAATATTAATTTAAAAAAACATTCTTATAAGTGTTTGCTGTTCCCTACAAAGTAGTCAACCATATAAGACCATAGTCTTATAGGCCACTGTAGCTGCTACTGCTCACATCATTTTTAAAACATCTCTTCTGAAATCACCAGCACTTTCTTGGGAACATCTTCAATGGCTGCAAATCTTCAACCTTAAAAAAAATTTTATGAAGTTAAGCTATATTTTTGATAAAAGGAAAGCAGAGAAATGACTGAACTATAATAAAATAATTTCTCTTCTATAGTATTAACTGACTTTGAAGAAAATTCCAAAAGAAGCCTTCTAAATATGTTTTGAGCAAGAACAGCAATACTAGAATCCAAGGCAAGCACTTTAAAGGATACCATTCATTTGGTTACACTGCGTACATAAGATCTACATTTTTTTAATGAATTTCCATGACTTCATAATGAAAATGCATAATACATTTCACTACTTCAAATTTTCTTCGTAAAGTATGGTTTAAGTCTATATAAATAAGTAAAATTTCACCGCTCTGATAAAGGTAATGATCTTGCAAAAAAAAGGAAGCCTAAGTTAAACAGCATAGCACAGTGGTTTAAAAAAACAGTAAAGAAATTAATCCACATGGAAAACAGGTGATACATTTTTTTCCTGAATACACTTAAATAAAGCAGAGTTATCATTAGTGGTTGGAGGAAAATAAACCGCCCCAAAAGCCCTTTTATCCCATTTTTAACAGTTAGAAATCAGTTCTTAAAATGATAAGTATAATTAGTTCTCTTCATGGAGGAGTGTAGCACAGGTAATTCAAAAACACATTTTATTTATTTTGGTATGTGTTTGATATTCTGGTAACCTATACTATTTCAAGGAAAATAATGAAGTCATAATATGAAGATATGACTTAAGAGACATTGGCAAATCACCTAATTTTGTCACTGCTCAATTTTTTCCACAACTGAATCTAGACACAGATAAACCAACACACAAACAAATGCAAATATTATTCTCACATTTTTATCCCCAGCACTTAGGACACTGCCTGACATATAGTAGGTTCTCAACAATTATTTCTAAATAAAGGAACAAATTAATGAGCGAAGAAATGAACAAACATGCAAAGAAATGAGCTTCCCATACTATATAGAAACTATAACTGCTTACATTTAAAAATTCCATTCAATTTAACAAGTATACATTAAGTGGCTATTTACTATAATAAGAAATTAAGTTTACTTTTAAACTTATCAATATAAAAAAATAGAATAATGGAGATATTTTCCAATTATGGCTCAAATCCAATGCTTTTTTTTTGTTTTACAGTCTTTTAAAAATTCTTTTCAGGGCCAGCACGGTGGCATAGTGGTTAAATGCGCATGCTCCGCTTAGGTGGCCGGGGCTTCACAGGTTCGGATCCTGGGCATGGACCTATGCACTGCTTATCAAGCCATGCTGTGGCAGGTGTCCCACATATAAAATAGAGGAAGATGGGCATAGATGTTAGCCCAGGGCCAATCTTCCTCAGCAAAAAGAGGAGGATTGACAATGGATGTTAGCTCGGGGCTAATCTTTTTCACCAAAAAAAAAACCAAAATCTGCATATTAAAAAGAAATATTTCTAGGGGCTGGCCCGGCAGCATAGTGGTTAAGTTCCCACGCTCCACTTCGGCAGCCTGGGGTTCGCAGGTTAGGATCCCAGGTGCGGACCTATGCACCACTCATCAAGCCATGCTGTGGTGGCGTCCCATATATAAGATGGAGGAAGACTGGCACAGATGTTAGCTCAGAGACAATCTTCCTCAAGCAAAAAGAGGAAGACTAGCAATGGATGTTAGCTCAGGGTCAATCTTCCTCACCCAAAAAAAAAAAAAGAAATATTTCTAGGTATAAGAACTCTAAACACTAAATATAAATACTCTAAAGAAAATAGTTGAACTGTTAAACCTCAAAGTAATTTAGTACTCTTAGTTCATAAATATAAAGAAACATACCTTTAAGGTACAACTTTCTAGAAATTATAGCAGTTTTGTGCAAGCCAATTTCACAGTTTCTTTTTTACAGTGATTAAGTAGCTGATTTATTGTGGATTCTTATGAATACAAGGGAGTAAAATTCTGATGCCTGAAACCAATTCCACTCTTTCCAGACTTAGTATGAGACTGTAGAGCAATAATTCTTACTTGATCAGGAAGAGCCTCTATGAATTTAAAATTGAACATTTATAAAATATCTAGTCTGACCTACAGTACTTTTCTATATTATATCATTATGTTTTCATTTTCTAAATTCAATTAAATGATTAACTTTCATGACACAAACTATAGGGAATAAATAACTCAGTACCAATTGCTGGGTCTCATTATTCTGATCCCCGGTACTCTCAGCCAGCAACTGAGTCAATTTCTTCCACAGCTGATGAAGCTCTTGGTTGTCTGCACCTTCTTCTTGCCGTGTCTTTATCAATTTGTGCCATGTTCGGGCCACCTATCAAAAAGGAGATTTAAAATGGCTATTTTATGTTAAATACTAAAAATGCCAATAAAAAATATAACATCTGAAAATAAAAATATGTTTTATCTAATAATACATAAAAATAGCAAAAGCACAGAACTCCATCTATTATGAACTCAATAAAAAATAAGTTGACTGGGGGGCTGGCCCCGTGGCGTAGTGGTTAAGTGCACACGCTCTGCTGCTGGCGGCCCCAAGTTCAGATCCCAGGCACGCACCGAGGCACCGCTTGTCAGGTCATGCTGTGGCAGCATCCCATATAAAGTGGAGGAAGATAGGCATAGATGTTAGCCCGGGGCCAGTCTTCTTCAGCAAAAAGAGGAGGACTGCCAGATGTTAGCTCAGGGCTGATCTTCCTCACAAAAATAAAAAACAAGTTGATTGGGCAAATCCACACGGCCTTTACATTAGAAGTATGACTGAGATACCAGAGTGCATTCAGGAATAATGACTACATGTCCCAAACCTCATAACTTAAAGTATCAGCTATGGAGACATCACAAATGGGTCACTAAACTCTACAGATGATGGTTTTACCTATTTTATTTACCCCTGCTCGGTTTCAGAAAGATTTGTAAGTTATGATACCTGAAATTTGAACTCTAATTAACAGTTTTCAAGGCACTGTAATTTGTATTATCTCTATAAATTATTTTAATATGATAATACATATTAATTTTTAAAATTTTCCCTTAAGCTAAATGAAAACTTTCATCTAATAATGGTTTTATTAAAAGAAGTCTACTACCCCAGGAAATCATTAACCAACCTCCACGTGCTTCTTTTCTTGGTAATACAGATCCACAAGTTTCTTACAGACATCACACCACTTCTGTTTGTCGACACTTAGAATGAAGAAAAAAAGGATTTTGAATCTGATTAATGAAAACAAACAAGTACTTAAGACACTAAAATTAAAATATCCCAATAATACTGTCAGGCACTATTTTAAATTGAAACACATCCTCTTTTCATACTACAGTAAAATTTTATAAAATGAGCCTTTTACAAAAAAGAAAAGGTTTAAGAAATATTAGCTTCCATTATACTGAATCAAAATAATATCAATCTTCTGAAATTAGTCAATTCTTTCACTGTTAGTGTTTTGATTCTGTTTCAATCATAAACAAGAGACTCTGTAACAACAGTATGAGAGAAAAATGATTCCTAATTCTCAGTAAATGTTTAGAGAACTTCTACATAATTTTTAATCCGTTTATTCTAATTCAAGCTTTTAAAGAAACTGGCCTTTCCCCACACAATGATTACCTTTCATAAAGATCCAGGAGCTTTTGGTAAACACCAGGTAAGTCATCCTTAGCATTTATGTGATTACATTTCTCATACAAGCTCGCTAACCCCTGAAAGAGGAAGTAGTAGAGATTATTCTTCCAAAAATACCTAATGTTTTCACATTTATTTTGCTAAATAGTGACAATCTATAAAGATTATTTATGATAAAGATTATTATTATTTGCAAATCAAATAATATGTCTGGGATTTGGCTTCAAATAATTGGGGGTGAAATGGAGTAGGTAAAAGTATAGATGAAAAAATATTGGCGGTGCATGGATTTTTATTGAAGCTGAGTGATGGGCATAGAGGGGTTCATTATACTTCCTCTTTACTTTTGAAAATACACTTTGTTGAAGTGTTTTACAACAAAAAATATCTTTTAATGGTTATTATACAATTGTAACCCCTAAGACATTACCATAATGGTCAAACAAAAAAAATCCAAGTGTCTGTGGGAATTCTCATTTTTGCTTCAAAGATCAGAGATCCCAAACCAATCAGTACATAATAAAAGCAGGCATCTCTAAGTGTGTCACCAGATACTCCTACTCATGTTCTCGTTCGTGTGAACCTGAGACACAGAGGTTCATGTTCTCCAGAGCCTACTACCTCCTATTAATCAGTTTCTAAGATGTGATTGAGATATGAAACAGTCATTAAATATGAAAAAGTTGGAGAAGCCAACTAAATAACATGAAGACCATCAAATAAGAAAAAAGATTTTAACTTGTACTCAAAGACACAGAATTGCAAATTTTTTATATTATTTTATTTTTAGAAAACATTAATTTTCCCTCAGGTAAGCATAAAGAATATTCTTGATAAGTCTTTCATATGTACATAGAATTAAATTGGAGTTTTATATAATCATGCTCCAATTCCTGTCTTCACATTTGGAAATAATCCACTGGTTTGGATAGTGGTAAACAGCATCCTTTGCACCACTTTTTATTTTAAATAGGTTTAGAAGACCAACAAATTAAATTTTTTTTTTCTTATGTGGCGTAAATGGAGGTTTAAATGCCTATTTAAAACCTGTATTTTGAAAAATGGAAAAAAAATTCTTTCCTATAATATAGGGAAAAAAAATTTCTTTACATACCTGCCAAGCTAGTAATTGGTCTGGCTCTAGTTCAGCAGCTTTCTTATAGGCACCCTGGGCCTGATCAGGTTGTTCTAACTCGGCTGCAGCAACACCAATAAAAACCCAGGCATTGTAGTTATTTTTCTCTTGTTTTAACACTGTCTGATTAAAAAAATTAAAAGAGCAGGTCATTAAATTTTGGAAGCTAATGAACAAACAACAACAAAAAGACAGTCTACTTGAGGGTCAGGAAATCAGGATCTACCCCTAACTGGGCAATCTTAAGGATGCCACTTAACCTCTCCGGTCTTCAGTTTCCTCAGGGAGAGAGGGAGTTGGACTTGAGCAGTAATTGTAAGGGGTCCGAAATATGAGGAGTATTTTTTAAAAGCTGCCCAAGTTTTCCTGATGCCTCCACCAAATGCCTCCCCCTGTCCCTTGAGAATACTGGGTATAAAAAGAACAGTAAGGCTGTTCTTCCCACCCAACCGTCCTGCCTGCCCCCACGCCACACTGCCAGTAGTCAACTCACAAAACTGTATTCCATATCATTTCACCTTCTCCAACTCCCATATTTTCCTGAACTATGATAACATTTCCCCGTATTAGACAGATTTTTCATTGAAATTATAGGCTAGGAAAGTAGATTGACCCCGATGTGACTGTACCAAATATCTTCAAAATAAATAGTGGCAATGAACGTTTAAACAACACCTGTCAAGTAGAATAAAAATTATATGTAGAGCTACTGCTTTCAGAAATAACAGCTACTTGCTAAGGTAAAATAGTTTGAGCCAGAAAGCAAAGATGTTCTAGTGAAAGAAAACAAAATTCGTAGCTAAAATGAAATTAGCTCTTAAGGTTTTACATATTCTAGAGAAAATAAGAACATTTCCATGAGTTGAATCAGTTTATTAGGTTTATGTGCATTCACATAACACTTCCAGCAATCTCTCACCAATATACAGCACAAGTTCCATTCTATCCAACAATGCTACCTCCCAAAAAACCAACAACGAGGTAACTACCCAAGCTAAGCTCCAAACATGGGGGCCTTATCAATGCTTGTGTCCCCAACACCAAGAACAACGACTGGCACATAACCGCTGAACAAATGATAAACGCCACAGTCAACCAGCAACCAGCAACCGACTATCTGCCTGATGACCAGGTTTTCAGAATCTGATACAGACTTTTAAGGAAATAATTATAACAATGTGGTGAAAGCAGGTATGAAGTTCTGAGAGAACATAAAGAAAAAAGTACCTAACTCTAAACTGCATCTGCACGAGCCAGAGAAGGCTCCCTGCAGGATGCTTACACCAAGTTATAAAGGCATACAGGCAGACAAAGTGATGATCAGACAAGACACAGCAAATACACTAAGATGCAGCATTTCATTACTAAAAATTTCATTTAGTTGCAGTCAACATTCTAGGTTACCACACATAAGTAATCACACATTTGCCACTGACTAGTTCCCCACCTTTGCTTTCTAGTTGGGTCTCTCCAGGATATATTATAAACTACTTGGTAGAATTCATATCTGAATAGGAAAGAAGACTGCTGTGGTGCTGCTGTATATAATAGTAGAAACAGAATCATACATGTATTAGTTAGAAAAGCCTAGCACTGAAGGAAACAGTCCCTCCTCCTCCTCCTTCCTCTCCCCACCAGCCTGAACAGACTGCCCACCTTCTATATCAGGATTAGTTCTGTCATGGCCTCCATCCCTGCTGGGCTCAGTCACCACTAGAAACCTCATCTCACAAGGGCATTCTTCACCCCTTAAGACTCGCATCCTATATTGCTGTGTATTTCCCCCAAACTTACCCAATTCCTCCCTCCCACTCTCCTAAACTCTTCATTGCGCCCTCTGGAACTCCCGACTGGGACCAGCCAAGTTCCCTCTATATTTCCAATCTTTCTTTCTTTTTTTTTTTTTTTTAGGATTTTATTTATTTATTTTTCCCCCCCAAAGCCCCAGTAGATAGTTGCACGCCATAGCTGCACATCCCTCTAGTTGCTGTATGGACGTGGCCTCAGCATGGCCGGAGAAGCAGTGCATCGGTGTGCGCCCGGGATCTGAACCCAGGCCGCCAGCAGCAGAGTGCGCACACTTAACCGCTAAGCCACGGGGCCGGCCCTCCAATCTTTCTCTTAATTGTACCAAGCTCTGCCTCAACTGTACTCAGCTATTCCCCTATAGATCTTCGATGCTGCAGCTGATTTCTTTTCTCTTACATCCCACATATCATGGGACCAGGAGGTCACAATGTTACCTACATTTCTCTTCTGCTCCTCCCTCCTTGAAAAACCCCAGTACCTTTGGAGCTCAAGCCATCCAGCAGTACTATGAAAAATATCCTTCTCGTTGTTACCATCTACCAACCTCCTAGGAACTCCCGTTTCCTTCAGTGAAAATGTTGTATCCTTCCTCTCCATTTCAATTCCTGTAATCATTCCAACATTCATGCTGATGACCCATTGAACACCGTAGCCTCCCAGTAACTTACCCTCAGCACTACACAGCCATCCCAAATCCGGATTTCCAGCATGCCCCTGCCCCATCCTCCCAGTTCAATTCCAGTAATGGTCCCATGGTACAACTTGTTAACCTCTGATATGTGTCCAACTTGTTGACCCCACCTCCTTTTTCCACTATCACCCCACTTCTCAATTCTCATCCCTCCTTTCCCAGCTTAGACTCCATGACCCATCACTGTCAGCACTCCCTTGCAAACATCCACAACTCATTTGCCTCTCTTTCCTCTCATCTTTATCACTATCCATAGCTGAACTCCATCAAGCCCATCTCCAAGCCTGAGATGCTGAACATGAAGGGAGAAACTACACAGCTGAGTTCACTGCTTTCACTTTAATAACATGAAACTTCAAATGGACATTCACTGGGGCCTGGAAATCCTTCCAATCCTTACCAGTAAGTTTGTTTTCCCACTATGAATAACGACTATCTCATGCCTTCTTTCATCTCAAACCTCCTACACTGTAACTCCCTCTCCACTCTCAGTTTACACTTCACTAAAAAACAGAAGCCATCACAGGGGAACATTCTTATCTTCCCACTCCCAAAGCTACAAACCTGACAGTGTACGGATCTGCACCTATCTTCCCTTCCTGTCAAGATGCAAGAGCATCAAAGGCCCTCCTCTCAAGCTCTGGATCCCACCTTCTCTCGCCTTCCAAGGACTTCACTCCCACCACTACCCTCTCTCTCTCCTGCACATTCAACTTCTCCCTCCAGACTGGAACATTCCCATCAGCATACAAAGGAGCTTTAGAATCTCGATTTTTACCTCCACAAACCAAACAGAATTACAATGTCAACATACTATTAAAGAATGAAAACTTTAAGCTATAGTAGTGTTCCATAGTACAACCCATCAAAGGCTACCTAAGAGATGTTCAGGTTTTGAGAACTGGCTTTGATAAACTACCAATACAGAGAAAGACAGAACTAAGTGTGGCAAAAGCAGCTTATCCTTGCATAACCACTAAATGATTCTACTAAAGGACCTTACCACTTTTGTTATTTTTAGACAGCAAACATATTACAAATTGATAACTGCTTGTGAATGGGCAACAGTTTCATTGTAGAAGGAAAAAATACTGGTTACCTTACAATGTTTCAAAGCTTCTTTGTATTCTTTGTTTCTGATTGCATCGCGAGCACTTTTTAGAGCAGTCTTCACTTCCTTGCTGGACATTCTGTCAAAATAAAAAACTTGAGCGAGGCTACAATAATTCCTACCTAAGTGTAATAGTCCCAACAAACTTAACCACCTGAAAAAGGCATATGTGATTCCTTCTACATGGAACACTCTTTCCTCCTAATATAAACATAGCTTATGTCCTCACCTCTTCAGATTTTTACTCAAATGTCACTCACTCACTCACTCAGTGAAACCTTCTCCGGCCACACTATTTAAAATTTCAACACTTCTTTCCCCCAACTCCCAACCACTTGATATTCCCTAACTCCATCCCTAACACTGCATTTATTTTTCTTCACAGCACTTATCACATCTTATACACTATATACTTTACTTACTTATCTTATTTATTATCTGTTCCACAACCCCACCAGAATGTAAGTTCCATGTAGGCAACTTTTGTCTGTTGGTGGTAGTTTTTCTTTTCTTCTTTTTTTTCTCACTGTTGTATCCTCAGCACCTAGAATCTGACAAATTGTATATATTGATAAATATTTGTGGAAATTGAGTTGTATTTGAATTATATTCACTCTCCACATAGTAGGCCAAAATACAGATGATCTTATAGACCAGGACCCAAAACACATACCAACATGAATCCAATTTTACCTAAGCAAGATTTAGTAGAATAAGCCCAAGTCACAGAGTAAAAACACTAGCACTAATAAATTTCAGCAACTATGATGAAAGAATTTAAGAAAGCATTCTGTTTTAATAGAAGTTGCTATAAAATATAGATCAGGATATTAACTTTCTTCACAGTAAGGATTACTGTAAGATTATAATAATATAATATTCTTTGTAATATAGTATTCTTTGAAGAGAAATAAATGTAATGTTAACACTTGAAGGCAACGAATATGCAAGAAGATTGTACACTAATTTCAGCCATAAAAAGATATTTCGACTGGTAGACAAAGTACTTCTTCATTTAATCTTAAGATATAAGATATATTAGTTTATTTTAAGTAAACTAATATATCTTAAAATTTCACGACTTATTTTAGTTTACCAGTAACAAGTCAAATTCAATCACAATTCCATGTTGAAAAAAAGAAAGTATTTTTTGCCAACTCCACTGAACTCTAACCTTATCAGGAAGGTAAAACAAAGCTGGGTATATATTAAGTTGTTATAGACTGCAGATCTTCAAGGCAGCAAAAGAAACTAAGATGGCTCACTGACATGGTACACTGACAGTTCTTTATATCTAGAAGGGCTGAGATAGAAGTACAAGATCAAAGAAATTTAAGAAGCTAGGGAATAAAAAGAAACCCTATTGTCTTAAAGAATTTTAGATTCAAAATAATGTAAAAATTAAGATATCATAAAATCACTTTATCCGCAGCCAGAACCAGATTCCCTAAATAAGCAGAAAATTGACTTTTTGCCTAGTTACAATAATTATACAATTAATGCAACATATTTTGTATGCTCTTACTTTAGTAACTACTCTGTTACCTGAAATTATCTGGGTATAAGTTTATAGGTGCAAACTTCAGAAGGATTTTTTTTTTTTTTTTTTTTTTTGGTGAGGAAAATTAGCCCTCAACTAACATCTGTGGCCAGTCGTCCTCTTTTTGCTAGGAAGATTGGCCCTGGGCTAACATCCATGCCCATCTTCTTCTACTTTATATGTGGCACGCCTGCCACAGCATGGCTTGATGAGCAGTGCATAGGTCCGTCCATGCCTGTGATCTGAACCTGCAAACCCCGGGCCCCTGAAGTGGAGAGTGTAAACTTAACCACTATGCCACCGGGCCAGCCCCCAGAAGGACTTTTTTTGTAGTCTACAAATCTTAATTGGAGGAGGCAACAAATTCCAATGCTGATCTCACATTAAATTTTCTCACACCAAAGTTATCTCTGGTAGATAAACCTGCAGACTACAAAGAAGAAAGCATCAATGATGATAACAACTGATCTGTATCAATAGAAAGGGATAAAAAGAGACATCCAAGGGGAAAAAATGTCAAGAGATGTCCAAGTTAAAAAAGAACAAAAACAGTTCAAGATAAGACCAAGCAAAAACAAACAAAAGAATGCAACTTTTCCAGGACAAAGATCGCCATCTTTTCTATCACCCACCACTGGAGTGAAAGCATATCCAAACAAGGCAGAACCAACCAGCACTAACCCTACACGCAGCTCCCACGCTACTGGCTGTAGATGACATAAAAGAAGTGGAAAAGAAGGCCCTGCTCTAAAGAATTTAATCTAAATCAAGAGAGAGACCTAAGGTATATGAGGCACTGGAGAATCAAACGCTAAACTAAAGACAATGAGTGCAGTGCAATAGGAGTTCAGAGAAGAAAAGAAGTGTGGTATGAGGTAATTAACAGCTACTGGATGGAGAAGACAGGATTTAAGAATGGAGGGAAGAAGGAAAATTATTCCCATCAGAGGCAATCAATTGCATTAGCCAAGTCAGAGAGATAGGAATGAATGTGGCATGTGTAGGAAACAATGAGAAGACCAGGGTGAATGGAACAGAAGGGACTTGCTAAGAACAGAAGAAAATTAGGCTGGCTAGGTAAAGGAGAGCATCAGATTACAGAAGACCCTGAAAGTCAGACAGACAAGTGTGGACTTAAATAAAGCAGCAAACACGGAGCTGTTAAATGCTTCTAAGTAAAGTAAGTGATTTTTAAAGATCACTAGAGACAAACTCCATTCTTCTTTTGGTGACCAATTCTAATGTTCAATACCTTTCCATATCCCTATGTCTCCATATGTAATCGCAATTACTCTTGCTGTAGTGGAATCCTCTGTTCTTCTCTTATTATTCCTTCCTCATTTGATTTGGCATTTAGCATAATATGCTAGCACTGAGGTCCTCTCTCTTTACCTGATATATATCAGTTTCAAGAGGTTAGCTAATTTTTAAAAAGACAAAATAATCTGCCACTTTCCAGCCCTGAAGATTTCTTTCTCCTTTTGGGAAGTGGGGTGGAGAAGGACAGGCTCATTCACTAATTTTCTTTTTTTTTTTTTTTTT